AATAGCTTTTTAAAATATATAAGTTAAAGATATAGTTAAATACTTATAAAAGTATACTTTTAATAAGATAATTATTTATATTTACCTTTTTAATTAAGAACTTTAAGTATTAGTTTTAGCTAACTTTTATTATTTAATAACTTATTTATTACTTATTAACTTATTTATAGTAGTTAAATATTTAATAAACTATATTAATAAGTATTATTATTACTTATAGGCTAAGTATAACTTAAAAGAAGACTTAATATTAATATCCTTTTAAATTTATATTTTAATTAAAAAGGATAATAAAGTTTATACTTTTATTATATAAAAATAAAAAACTTAATTAACTAACTTACTTACCTTTTTAATTAATAAAAAGGATATTTTAAATACTATTTATAAATTAATTATTAAGCTTATTAAATAAGCTTATATTATTATAATAACTTTTATTACTTTTAAAACACTAGTAAACTATATACTTAACCTCTTTTTTTTATTTATTATTATTAATAAAGCTAGTTAAATAATAAAAAACACTTACCTTTTATTAATATTAGCCTTTTTTATTATACTAGTAATATAAATAAAAGATAATAAGTAATTTAGTTTAAAAGCTTTTATAAACTAAAATAAAAAGTATTAAGCTATCTTTATATAATAATATAAATATAGTCTTTTATATTAACTAGAAAAAGCTAGTTAGCTAGATTTTACTTTAACTATTAATTATTAAGCTTTTAGTAATATTTATAAATAGCTTAATTAATAATTATATTATAAATAAATAACCTTTATTAATAATTAAAACTAGTATACTTAAGCTATTTATAAATAGCTTAAAAAGAAATATACTAATAGCTTATTATAATAAGCTTACTTAAAGTCTAACTTTATTTTTATTAATATTATAAATAAATAAAAAGAAAAAACTAGTATATTTTCTATTAATTTAGTTAATATATACTTTATTATTAAGTTAGTTTCTTAAATAATTAGTAATATACCTTTTTAATTAATAAACTCTTTTTTTATTAACCTTAAAGCTAATTTAGCTACTTATATAAAGGGCAGTATATTAATTATTACTAATTATAATAGCTAAAAGCTCTTTTTATAAAATAAGTTTAATATAATCTTAATAAAAGATATTCCTTTTAGTATTATTAATATTTAAATAATTAATAATTTATTAAGCTATTAAGTAAATATTATTATTATAGATTCTATTTAATTAAATAAACTAGGCTTTATAAATAATAATTACTAGCTTATAATATTAATAACTAAAGCTTAAGCTATAATTATTATTATTAGCTAAAAAATAATAATACTTAATTAATCTAAATTATTATTTTATTTAATATAATTCCTTTAAGATTAAAATAGTATTATTATAACTTATAGTTAGTATATTTAATATAAACTTTATCTTTAAGCTAAATATTAAAAATATTAATATACTAAAACTATTTAATATACTTACTATACTAGTAATTACTTTAAAAGAAACTGCTTTATACTTAGTATACTTACTACTTTAACTTAACTTTTAAATAACCTTTTATAAGTAATTTTCTTTAATATTAAGGATAATAATAATTAAAAGAAAAAAGTAATAAAAACTAAATATTAAAAAAAGGTTATATAATACTAAAATAGATAAAAATAAAAAGACTAATAAGTTATAAACCTTTTTAATTATTAAATTATAGCTATTAATTATAATTAATATAACCTTTTTAAAATAACTTTTTTAAAATATATAACTTATAATAATATAGTTAATTATTAAAATAACCTCTTAATTAATTATAAAAGTAATATTTTAACTAATTATTAAGTCTTAAGTAATAATATTCTTAATAAAATAACTTTTTAAAGGTAAGTATTAAAAGAAAAACTAATATAAAAACTAGAAAAAGAAACTTATTATATTTAGAATTATAATAAGCTTATTATAAGTATTAAATAATAAACTTAAAGTAAAAAATAAAAAAAAAGAATAAAAAATAAAACTATTATTAATTTCCTTTTTATTATATTTATATTTATTATATAAGTTTATATACCTTTATTTTATCTTAATTATAATAAGGATATTATACTTCTTTTATATTAAGGATATTATAAATTATATACTTAGTTATTTAACTAGCTATATATAGGTCTTATTATCTTTATATATATCTCCTAGCTAGCTTAGTCTTTTTATTATTCTTTTAATTATATTATAATACTTATTATTTATTATAACACTTAAGTCTAGTGTTTAATTATTTATTTTAGTTACCTTATTCCTTAATATAAATAGTATTTCTATAGCATCTTACTAGACTATAGTTACAGACGTTAATAAGGAAACAATTTCCATAGTATTTATTCCCAAGGACAGATAATAACATCTCCTCAGATTGTTTAAGTGGAAAGCATATAACACGCTCATAGGTCTAGAAGATCGTACGCCCCCTTACACTACATGTAGGTAGCTTGTATTGAGTCTCTCATAGGTACATTTCAATCACTTGAAAGCAGAGCAAAGATAGTAAAACAAAGATTAAGGAACATTCATACAACAATGAGCCCTATTCAAACTAAACTATTAATCTTTCATGCCTTATTCATCGCAAAAATCCGCTGTCCTTCCACGCCTGGATATACTTGTGCACCAACTCATCACTCACAGGGCGCACAGCCCGCAAAGTCGCCGAATGCTCCAGCGCATTGTCCGTAGCCATCGTCACTCCGCCGCAAGACATGTGCTTGAACTTGTGTTCGAAAAAGTCCATCGCCTTGGCCGAAGGGTTGTCCCACGGGTCTTCCCCAGGGTAGGCACGCACCCTTCGCAGCCACTCTTTGAAGGGCACAATGTGGCTGCTAGGGACGTCCAACGCATCAGCGAGCACGGGAATTACATCTTTCCAGTCTCTGGTTTGCGGGTTGTCCAAGTGATAAACAGCATGGCATGTAGGCGCGTCGCGCAGAAGCAAATCAGCCAACGAGGCCGAGGCATCCTCCAGATGCAGCCAGGACACCGCACCATCGACATCCGGCAGAGCACGTAGCGTCTGGGCAGACTTGAACAGGAAGCTCAGCATCTCCATGTGGTTCCAGTATCCCGTCTTCATAGAACCCGATAGTTGTCCCAGTCTAACCGTCATGGCACGGAAGCGATCGGGATGCTGGCCCAGTGTCTCAAGCAGAACACGCTCGCAGATGACCTTTGCTTCACCGTATCCGTTGGGAAGAGCGCTGTCGACATCCCATTGCTGCTCGGGTACCCTCTTTTCTCCGTGGACCTTTGGATACATGCCTACTGCGGACAGAGAGGAGATGAACTGGAAGGTGAACTTGAACTCGGTCGGGCGACGAGCCGATACGCCGGCAGCAAGGTCAACGAGGTTGCGCATCAGTGTGAGTTGAGACTCATTCTGCTTCAGCGAGCGTAGGCCGTTCACCGGGAAAGCGCTGTGAACGATATGCGTCACGTTGTTGAGCAGCTGCTCGTACTGGCTCTCATCCAGACCAAGTTGAGGCAGTGGTAAGTCTGTTTCAATGACTCGCAGCTTGCCAATCTCCGCTTCGCTCAGTTCAATGCTCTTGGATGCCAGTACTTCTAGCTGTCGACTCAGAGGGTCGCGAGACTGATCTTCTTGGCCCTTCTTGCCGGGTCTGGGTCGGTTCAAGCAGTAGATTGTATCAACCGAGGGCAAGCTGGCAATGTGCGCAACAAGGTGGCTACCGAGGCTGCCAGTTGCTCCCGTGACGAGGACGCATGCACCACTTCCCGGTTCTGTGTTCAAGGTAGGTCCTGCGTATCTGGGAATTGCAAAGTCTCGGATCGTGCTCTCGACATAGGTGTTAGCCACCCGCTTTCGTTCTTCCGCGTCAAGCTTGGAGCCATGATGTTCCTCTTCGTCCTCCAGCGTGGAGCTTGTTAGAGTTGGGATGTTGCTCAGATCTCCGTCAGCATCACCGGCCAGAGCGATGATAACTCTTTGCACGTGTACTTCTGGCAGCTTGCCGTCAGTCCACCGCACATGCTTGAAGCCTGATGCGAGCAACTCCTTCTCCCATCGCTGTTCATTGACAATGGCATGTGTTCGGCCATCGTCAAACAGCCACCAGCCCTCAAGAGTGCCCCAGACCACATCGACCCAGTGAAGAGTCCTCATCATCTCAAGGAGCATGAGGAATCCGTCCGGCCGCAGGAACTTGCGAATGTTCTGGGCCGAATCCCTCAGTGAGTGAGTTGCGTGCACTGCGTTGCTGGCAATGACAACATGTTGCGAGCCGACAAGCTCGGGATCAGAGGGGGGCTGTTCAATATCGTGAACAGCAAACTTCATAAAGGGGTACTCCTTGAATCGCCTCTTGGCCTGCGCCACCAGGGAAGGTGAGAGATCGGTGAAGGTGTATTCCAAGGGGATGCCCAGCTTGGCCAGAACAGGCACAAGCACCTTTGTCGTGCCGCCGGTGCCAGCTCCCATTTCCAGGATTTTAAGTGTAGGAGCGCCATGTTGCGAGGAAGAGAGCTTCAGCTTTGCTGCCAACCGGGTGAAGAAGTCGGCCATTAGCTCAAAGTACAGCTTGTTGAATGGCAGTTCACCGTAGAAGTTTGCCACCAGCTCGCGGTTCTTCGCATCGCCAAAGATGAGTTGCGGACCATCCGCCTTGCCTGAGAGCACATCGGCCATCCGAGAGCCGACGTTGTAGGCGAGCTGGTGAGAAGACCCGTTGTCAGCGTGGCGCCGCATGAGATCTTGCAAGATGGCATCTGCGGACTGAGAAGGCAGCGGAATTGCTGTTCGCGTCATGACATCTCCGTCAATGTTGATGATCCGCGTCTCCTCGAGCATGCTGTACAGATATTGGTGGAAACGACGATGGCGCTCAACGAAGGGGACAGGCTGCAGGACTTCTCCGGGCTTGGCGGCCTCGAGATCACATCCGAGCTGCTTGAAGGCTGCAGCGGTCAATACCAGGCACAGCCTTGTCTGCTTTTGGGAGACCCCGTCAAGGTAGCCAGCACAGCCGCGAGCCTTGAGGAAATAATCGGTCCTCGAGCTGGATTCACCAAAGGCTTCGAGAACAGCAGAAGCAGGCAGGTCGGAAGCGCCATCTGACGAGCCGAAAGATACTTTCAGATTCGGTGATGCCATTTCTGAGCCCGAGGTAGGTGGTGAGTGAACGTTTGCGTCAGAGGAGGCTGTGCTCATGGACTCGGAGGAGTCGTTAACATCCTCATCACCAAGCGTAGACTGCAGGAATTTGAGAATGCCTGGTACATCCACGATGCTCAGTAGCTCGGACTGTTCCACGGTACAGTTGAAAGTCGTCTCGACTTCGCGCGCCATCTCCATTCCCATGAGGGAGTCTATTCCAATGTCGGCCAGGGCGTCGGTCGGTTGGATCTCATCCGGCTCTAGTCCAGAGATGTCTGCTAGAACAGGCCGCAGCCTGAGCCAGAGCTCCGCCTTGATATCTCTCTTGGGAGCTGCTGCTTTGACCGGCTTCTTGATTACTTCCTGGGGCTGTGGTACGGAAGTCTGTTTCGACGTGGTAGACACAGGTACCGGCACAAAAGGTGTACTCGAGGGCACATATCTGTTTACTACTGGTACAGCAGCTGTCGTGGTTGTAGAGCCTGAGAGAGGTTGATTACTAAAGTGAAATGTCAGTAAGAGGAACCGGGAGCATATATATATAAGATGGCACCTTGGGCATAGGTGTGTACTTACAGCGACACCGGGGCATATCTGATACCAAGGATAACCTCTTCCAGGTTACCAGATGCCGCGTCAAAGACGAAAATATCCGTTGTGAAGGAGTCGTCCGATGCATTGCGCTTATGCTGAGCCAGAACATGCCACTCAAGTTCGGGATCGTTGTCGTACAATCTTTGGCTGAACTTTTCCAACACCTTTGATGATTTCGACCACTGTTCAATCCCAGTGGCCATGTAGACGGTCCTTTTCTTTGTGTTGCGCAGATTCTGAGCGATGCAGTTTGCCCAGATACTACCGACCTGGGTAAAGACCTCTCCAAGGGCAAAGTCGACAAACGACTTGCCTGACCGCCTCCGCACGACTCTACCCGCGGATTCATTCGATCGACCGACAATTCTCTGCAGGCCACGCAGTCTCTGGCCGTAGTGGACGTCGCTGGAAGACAACACGCTGTAGATGGTCTGTCCCTGAATCACCTCGTCGGAGCGGCCGCTGCTTTCCAGAACCTGCAAGCATCGATCGTGTGTGATGAAGCGGTCAAACCTGCCAAACTCAAGGCGGGAGCGAGCATCGTCAGAGGCCTGGAAGTGTAGCTGTCCGCTCATGTGCAGGATTTCTCCACTGTCTTTACCTTTGCTGGTTACCTTGAAGAGCCAGCTGTTTTCATCGTGACCGAGGCGCTCAAATAGTATGAACAGCTCTGCCGAGGTGTCGTGGATATACTCTCGGTTGACTACATTGTAGATCTGGGGGTCCAATTTGCTGGTATCGGCTAACTCGGGGTGAATACTGACGAGGGCTTGAATTGCCAGGTCCGTCTCGAACATAACCGGGCAAGTCTGGGTGTTTGCAACGGCATGACTAGACATGGCATCAACAAACTGGGCCGCTGCCGTATTGATGCGGAAGCGGTATTTGTCCGTGCCCCTATCCAAGAGTATGTACAGGCCGACGGGCTGTTGTTGCTGAGTCCCGTTACCTGCTTCAGTGGATGGAGCAGTCTGAACCGCAACTTGTAGTGCCTGAGGGGGCTTGAACTCCAGCCACTGACGATGCTTTTCGAACTGATAAGGCGGAAGAATAATGTGTTTGTACTCATAAGTTTGTGCTCGGGAATGCGGCCAGAAAGAGACACGCAGACCGGCCTTCCACAGATTCATGGTCACGTCGGTAAGCTGTGACAGAGCCTTGTTGTTATTTGTCACATTGAAAGGCTGGAAAGTCGATGCCTTTGGCAACCCAAGTGCTTTACTTGCCATGGACGTAATTGTAGAGTTGGAGCCAGCCTCTAGCCAAACGGCCTCTGGATATTCTTTAGTGATCCTTTCAACAGCATGGTGGAAATAAACCGGCTCTCTCATATGATCTGCAACATAGACAGCCGATAATTTGTCGACCTTGCGTGAATGAGTTGCTCGCTCAAGGGGAATTTGTGGCAGGGCAAAAGTGAGCTGACGACCAAGAGCCTCCAGCTCGGGCTTGAGCCGCTCAACAAGCACAGAGTGGAAAGCATTGGTCACGTTGAGTCTCTTGTGCTTCAGGGCAGGCTGAGTGCTGGATATGGCCTTTTGCACTGCATCGATAGCTGCCGAAGAACCAGCGACTGTGAAGCTTCTTGGGCCGTTGAAGCAAGCGATAGTTGCTTTGCCTTCCTGCAGAGACGCATTAACGGTGGACAAGAGGCCCTCGAGCTCTTCCAGGTCGGATTCAACGGCCAGCATTGATCCCTTTTCGGCTCCCCACGATTCCTTGATGATTTTCGATCTGCCGTAGACCAGCTTCAGTCCGTCTTGTAGGCTCAGGACGCCCGAGATACAGAGCGCGGTGAGCTCTCCGAAAGAATGACCAACGAGTTTCGCCGGAACGATGCCGCAGTCAATCCAGCTCATAGCAGACGAATACTGCATGGAGAAGAGGAGCGGCTGAAGGATCGAAGGGTCATCGATGGGGTCGCTCTGGAATATGCGAGGATAAATGCTCCCTGCGCCAATGGACTTGCAGACCGAGTCACATTGGTCAAGATGGCGGCGCAGAATTGCCGATTTCGTAAAGAGTTGATAGTCGAGGCCAACAAAAGTCGAAACTTGACCACCGAAGCACAGAATCACTGGTGGCTGCGAAGACCGTATAGGAAACGTGTCGATTGAAGCCAGCTTCTCGTCGAGCTCAACGATGGAACCAGCGCTGAAAACGGAGCCTCGGCCAAGAGACCAGTTGGACTGTCGATTGATGCTGAAGGCCAGGTCTTGAATATCGAGATTGTCGTGGGAGTTGACAAACTGGCGGAGCTTCTGCGCATAAGCAAGGATGGCTTTCTCGTCAAGCCCGGAGAGGAAGAACGGGACTTTTTGAGAGTCACCAGCACCGTCTTTGGAGAGCAACACCTCGGTTTCACTATCGATGACGGGCGGCGGTGGCTTTGACAACTGTGCCGGACTTTGCTTGATTATGACGGACGCATTCGAGCCGGCAGCGCCGTAGTTGTTGATGAGAGCCGCCTTGAACTCCTGGTTCCATGGAAGCGGCGTCTTTGTGATTTCCAGGTTGTCCGACGCTGAATACTTGATGGAAGGGTTGATGGAGTCGAAGCTGGCTTGCGGCGGGATTTGGCCTCGCTGAAGCATGAGAAGAATCTTGATCAGTGCGACGACACCAGAGGCGCCCTCGGTATGACCAATCAGTCCCTTGACAGATCCTACCTGCAAAGCATCCTGTCCAGCTCGCACAGAGCCTCCAAATACTTGACGGATGCTGTCATACTCAACCGGATCTCCCACCGGGGTTCCTGTGCCATGGGCTTCAACAACGGAGATGTCCTTGGCGTCTAAGCCAGACTTTTGAATCGCAGTGCGGAACACGTTGGTGAGCGACGGCGAGTTGGGCACAAAGATGGGCGTCTCGTTCCGGTTCTGGTTGATTGCAGTGGCCGAGATGACACCGAGAACCTGGTCGCCGTCGGCAATTGCTTGACTCAACTTCTTGAGAAAGACGGTGCCAACAGCTTCGCCTCGGCAGTAGCCGTCGGCCTTTGCGTCGAACGGCTTGCACTGTCCGGTCGTGCTGAGGAACGAACCGGCAGCGAGGTTCTGGAAGAACATGGGCGTGCTGTAGAAGTTGGTGCCGCCAACAAGAGCCGCCGAGCACTCGCCGCTCAGGATGGCCTTGCATGCCAAATCTAGGGCGACTGTGGATGCCGAGCAGGCCGTGTCGACCGTCATCGCAGGACCTGTCCAGCCAAAGAAGTGACTGACCTTGCCGGCGATGTAGCTTCGCAGGGCACCGGTGGCCGAGAATGCGATCGGCGTGGTGTGAGAGATGTTGTTCTCGTAATCGTTCGCGACTACGCCGATATAGCAGCCGACTTTGGTAGGGCCATGGACGTTCATGTTCACGTTGTAATAGCCAGATTGTGCCACGGCCTGATATGCTGCCTGCAGCATCAGCCGTTGCTGGGGGTCCATGTGAAGAGCCTCGCGGGGAGACTTCTTGAAGAACTTGTGATCAAAGGCATCATGGTCGCTCATGAAGTTGCCGAACCACTTCTTCTTCTCGTTACCAGCCTCGGAGGGCCGGAAAGGCGTCTCCATGACGAATCGGTCGTTGGGAATCAGCTCCCTGTGCTGTGACTTGCCCTGCAGTAGCAGCTCCCAGTATTCATTCACATCGTCTGCTCCAGCTACCTTGCACGCCATTCCAATGACAGCGATGTCGTTCTCGGCCACTCCCGCTGGGAGCTCCTGATCTTGACTCAGATTTGCCTTGGTGCGCTTGATGCTCTCCTCAAAGTCGAAATGGGTGACCTGGCTGTTCAGTCGTCGAAGAAGCGTTGGCGGGACACATCGCTCCGGCCCGAATTCGATGATGCGAGAGGCCCTGTTCTGCAGGGTGCTGGAAACAGCAGAACGGAAGGTCTTGATCCAGTCAAATTGCGATACGAGAAATGCGCGACAAGCGATCTCAAGAAGAGACTCTTGGCTGGTGACAATATCTTCTGAGTTGACCCTCGTGGGTACGACAACGCAGGATGCGTCCGGAAGTTGAAAGGTAGGGAATCGTTTGCAGTAGAGGAGGAAGGCTTCCAGCTCGGCTTTGTACAGCTGGCCGGCGTGAAACCGTCCATGGAACTCTGTTTCGTTGGTTGTAATACCGACCTTTTGGAGATGGTTCTTCAGAGCAGCCACGGTGCGAGTAGATGTTGTTACGGTAACCCTATTCTCGTCGTATAAGACGGAGATGTATGCCTTCCATGTCACAGTCCGTCAGTAAGAGACGTTAAAGTGGCTTGAATGATGGAATATCGGCTTGACTCCTTACCTCGGGAAACCTTTCCAGGGCCTTCTTGAGATCAGACAGGGATTGACCACCTCTCCAAAAGGCTATCAGTGAAACTGAGGGCCCCGACGCATCAGATGCATCTTGTGCGTCAGACAGGGCGCCCAGCACAAACACGACCCGAACCACCGCAGCTGCGTTGTGACAGAACTCGGCCCAAGAAGAGCTGGATGACAACACCAACGCGCTGAACACGCCGAGACAGCATCCTACTGTTTCTGCATCGGAAGCGGAGGGTACCTGGAAGCCTTCGCCGCCTCGGAGCCCGGATGCCGATATGGAGTCGACGTGCTGGAGATACTCGACGAGTTGTGCGATGACGACCAGGGGACCGAGAAGAGCATTGGGGAGACTGGCGATAGTCGATCCAGGACTGAGAGTGCCTGTCCGCAGCCACTCTGCCAGCTTCTGCGCGTGGCCGACGCCTGGAGTGTGTTGCAGCTTCGGGACTGCCTCACAGAGGGACGCCCAATGGCTCTCAATGTCTCTGATGGCAGCAAGAGCCCACTGGCTCGCGGAATCCGTGCTGACAAAGGACAAGATGTTGGCGAAGTATGCCTCGTTCAGAGACATTGCTCCGGGCCCAAACATGAGCAGAGTGCGTATACTTGAGGCCGCCATGACTGTCTGTGCAGGTCGAGTGAGTGATGATGGTGCGCTTTCGCTGTTGAAGTTGCCCTGCTTTTCACCCCGGGTGGTAATGTTGAGTACCGCAAGCCTTCGGAATGAATGGACCTTGATGCTTCCAAGCTGAGAGATACATGCAGTCACCAAGACGCGGAATGTCGTGGTCTATACATACACTTTTAGCACCTTTGCGAGATTCGCCTTCATCCTTCGTCCTGTCGGAAATCGACGACGCTGACTGACAATTGCCCGCCATCGTAATGAGAATGTTTGCCTGATACTGCTGACATGGAGTTTCAAGTCGCTATCCTGAGAGACAATCGTCAACTTTAGGATCCGGAGTTGAGATACTCCGATGCGGACTCACTTGGGAATCTGTTCGGAGTCTGCCAAGACGGACTTTCTTTGCTTCATTTTCTTACTTTAATTGCTTACGTCCAAAATTCGCCGCTCTCCGTCCGCACAGCCTTGCCTTTTCCAACCGAATCCTGTCAACAGAATGTCCGTACGTCTTCAAGCCGCTTACAGGATTCACTGACCGACCCATAGAGCAGATACGCCATGGAGAGACTCGTCGATGCAGCTGACGACAATGACGCCGGGCTTGGAAACAGTTACATATGTAGAATACCTTGACCAGCTTCATATGCTCGGCCTGGAACTTGTTTCTGTTACCTATTAGTATTCCCACACGCAGACAACTCCTTCCTCTTCAACCTTCTTTATCGACCACCCTCAACGACGGAAGATGGGAAGCCTCGGTCCCGACAGCAAATCTCGCTGTGCGAGTGAGCCCATTGCCATCATTGGCATGAGCTCCAAGTTTTCTGGAGATGCAACGAATACGGACAAGCTGTGGCAGATGCTGGCCGAGGGGAGAAGCGGGTGGACAGAGTTCCCGGCCTCAAGATTCAGATCGGAAGGAGTCTACCATCCGAACAACGAGAGACTGAACACGGTAAGCCGGCACTGTAAGAGCTGAATCAAAGAATACGTTTGACTCAACATGGCATAGACACACGTCAAAGGCGCACACTTTCTGCAAGAAGATGTTGGCTTGTTTGATGCAGCATTCTTCAGCTACTCTAGCGAGACTGCCTCGGTGAGCACTCTACACCCAGCTACACCCCTATGCATGTCGATTGCCTCCTGTTAACATCATTCGTTAGTCCTTGGATCCTCAATATCGGCTACAGTTAGAATCTGCCTATGAAGCCTTGGAAAACGGTAAGAGGCCCTCCAGACACTCCTATCCTTCACATGTATATGAACTAACTGGACTTCCATCGTCGTATAGCCGGTATTTCCCTTGCACAAATAGCGGGTTCCAACACCTCCGTATTCACCGGTGTCTTTGTACATGACTACAGAGATGCACTGCTGCGCGACGCCGATAACCTGCCAAGGCTCATGGCCACAGGTACTGGCGTGCCCATGATGAGCAACCGCATCTCTCACTTCTTCGATCTCCGCGGCGCGAGCATGACGATAGAAACCGCCTGCTCTTCCGGAATGGTGGCCACACATCAAGGGATCCAAAGTCTGAGAACAGGCGAAGCCGACATGTCCATTGTTGGGGGTGCCAACCTCACTCTGAACCCGGACATGTTCAAGGCTCTGGGGTCTGCGGGGTGAGTGATATATATACATGCATCTATCGGATGACCCAAGGCTAATACGATCCACACGATAGTTTTCTTTCTGCAGATGGAAAGTCTTACGCATTTGATTCGCGTGCCAGCGGCTACGGCCGTGGCGAGGGCGTGGCAACGATTGTATTGAAGCGCTTGTCAGACGCACTCGCTGCTGGCGATCCGATCCGTGCTGTCATCAGATCCTCTGCCCTTAACCAAGACGGCAAAACAGAGACCATTACGACACCCAGTCTGGAAGCCCAGATTGACCTGATCCGCCAGTGTTACGACAGAGCTGGACTCGACCCTCGGGACACTCAGTACTTTGAGGCGCACGGCACTGGCACACAGGCTGGAGATACCGTCGAGGCACGCGCCATTGCGACTGTCTTCTCCTCCAACCGAGACCCTCTCCTCATTGGATCTATCAAGACAAACATCGGCCATACTGAAGCGGCCAGCGGCTTGGCGAGCATCATCAAGACGGCCCTGGCCCTGGAAAAGGGGGTGATTCCAGCATCGATCAATTTCGAAAAGCCCAACCCGAAACTCTCCTTGGACGACTGGCATCTTAAGCTGGTAAGACAGCTGCAGGAATGGCCGGCTGCGAGCACTCGCCGTGCCTCCATCAACAACTTTGGTTACGGAGGCGCCAACGCGCACATCATCATCGAAGACGGGGCATCATGGACTCCATCTCTTTTGCGACACAGCCAGGAGGATACGCCTCAGACGGAAGCAGACGGCACTGACTCCAGAGTTCTCATCCTGAGTGGCAAAGACGAGCAGGCATGCAGGAATATGATTTCCAACCTCGCCGACTACCTCCAACGGGTCGCATCGGCCGAGGATGAACCAGCAAGGCTGCTCGACAGCCTTGCGTATACCCTAGGGCAGCGCCGTACGCGGTTCCCCTGGGTAGCTGCGCACCCCATTCCTGTCACAGAGGGTATTGAGGCTGTTGTGAGCAGTCTCCAGTCACCCAAGTTCAAGCCCTACCGCAGCTCACGTCAACCCAGAATCGGTATGGTGTTTACCGGGCAGGGTGCTCAGTGGTGGGCAATGGGGAGGGAGCTCTGCGATGCCTACCCTGTGTACAAGGCCTCCCTCGACGAGGCCGATGCGTACATCAGGCAGTTTGGGGCGGATTGGTCCCTCGTGGAAGAGCTCTCGCGTGATGCTGCTTCATCCCGAATCAACGAGTCTGGCCTCAGCACTCCGATTTGTGTTGCTGTACAGATCTCGCTCGTCCGTCTCTTGGAGTCTTGGGGTGTTGTTCCTGCCGCTGTCACGAGTCACTCGAGCGGAGAGATTGCTGCAGCCTACACAGTCGGAGCACTCAGCTACAAGGATGCCATGGCATATGCGTACCACCGTGCTGTACTGGCTGCGGATACGAGCCTTCGAGGCCCAGTGAAAGGCGGCATGGTCGCCATTGGACTTGGCCGAGAAGAGACGGAGGCGTATCTGAGCAGGCTGACGACCAGTGGTAAAGCCATGGTCGCCTGCGTCAACAGTCCCTCTAGCACAACAGTGTCCGGAGACTTCAGTGCCGTAAAGGAACTGGAGGAACTGGCCAATGCCGATGGCGTCTTCGCTCGTCTGCTCAAGGTAGAGACAGCCTGGCACTCGCATCACATGACGGCAATTGCAAACGTCTATGTCGAGGCCCTCGACAGCATCAAAAGAAAAAGCAGCCGCAATGATTCACCGATTGCGTACTCATCGCCCGTCACTGGTGGCCGGGTGGTCAATATCGAGGAAGTAGCACGCCCAGAGCACTGGGTAAAGAGCTTGGTACAGCCCGTCCAGTTTGTGGACGCCTTCACCGACATGCTGCTCGGCGAGCCGAAGAGTGCTACTTCCAACATCGATGTCGTCGTCGAGGTTGGCCCTCACACAGCTCTGGGCGGACCCATTCAGCAAATTCTTGGCTTGCCTGCGTTCAAGGGGCTGCAGATTCCATACTACGGCTGCCTCGTCCGCAAAACAGATGCAAGGGACACAATGCAAGCCCTTGCAGCTAACCTACTGCAGCAAGGCTATCCAGTTGATTTGGACGCCGTCAACTTTCCCCGTGGCAGAGGCCCCCGAGTCAAGGTCCTTACCGGGCTTCCTTCATACCCCTGGAACCATCAAATCAAGCACTGGGTCGAGCCCAGATTCAACAAGGCGCTTCGGGAACGATCTTTGCCTCCCCATCACCTCCTGGGCTCGCTTGTTGAGGGGACAAATCTGGAAAGCCCGACGTGGCGGCACACGCTCCGGATATCCGAATCACCTTGGACTCGAGATCATGCTATCCAGTCAAATGTGGTCTATCCTGCCGCGGGCTACATCTGTTTGGCTATTGAGGCGACCAAGCAGCTTCAGATCTTGAGCAATACCAAGGCAAGCCCCAAGGAGGTATCAGGATACCGACTACGCGACGTCGACTTTTTACAAGCCCTGATGATACCGGATACCTCGGACGGTGTCGAGATCCAGACGAGTCTACGTCCCGTGAGTGATAGAGATGTTGCACTGCAGGGTTGGAAGCACTTCGAGGTCTGGTCTGTTACAGGGGACAACCGATGGACTCAGCACGCCAAGGGTCTCATCTCGATTGAGTTTGAAGCATCCGCGCAAGCCTCTGAGGCAAAAGTTGGCGACTTCAGCATCAAAGGGTATAAGAGACAGATCCCTCCCGCTGAACTATTCGCCAACCTCAAAGCCCTCGGTATCGGCCACGGCCCGATGTTCCAAAACATGAGACATATTGTACAATCGGGCTCAGACAGACGCAGCGTGGTTCTCACGGCTGTGCCAGACACATCAGTACCAAACGATCTTCCCCGCGAGCATGTTCTGCATCCTGTCACTCTCGACTCGTTCATCACGTCGCCTTATTCAGCCGTCCCAGGAGCTGCCAGCCGCGAGACTGCCGCCAAAGTGCCGAGGTCGGTCAAGAGCTTTTGGGTATCAAGCAGGATAAGTCACGCCCCTGAGCATGTCTTCAAGGCGCACTCTCACATCATCCGCGACGACAAGCACGGAATGGAGGCCGATGTAATTGTCGCAAATGATGGGCTCGACGACAACGCCGTGCTGCTGGAGATGAAGGGTTTTTCGTACCAGTCTCTGGGGCGCAGCGTGTCTCTCCAACATGCAGAGCCTTGGGAGAACCAGTTGTGTAGCAGCATTCATTGGCGTCCCGATATCTCCATCAAGCTCCCAGCCACAGTGTCTTTGGTGAAGAAGGAACTCTCTCGCCATGTCGACCCAGCTGAAGCTGAGGCAGCAGAGATCTCGAGTCTGTGCATTTATTTTATGCAGAAGGCACTCGCCAGCCTATCCGATAACGACGTCTCCCTCAAGGAATCTCATTACTCAAAGTACTACGCGTGGATGAAGGCAGTCGTCCAACAGGCCGCTTCTGCTGCCATGGATGAGAGTGAGATTGACCGGATAGCCAAGTCACGGGCGGATGGCGAGATGATACGTCTCGTAGGTAGTCAACTAGTGTCCATCCTACGGGGAGAGTTGACACCGACCGAGGTCATGGAACAAGACAAGAATCTGGTCTCCAAGTTCTACAACGAGACGCCCAGGGCAAAGCGGACGAGCTCGCAGCTCTCCGGTCTGCTCCACCATCTGGTCCACAAGAATCCTCGGGCACGCATCCTCGAGATTGGCGCAAGCACCGGCGGCGTCACCGGCTCTGCCCTCGGGGTCTTGGGCACTGCCGCGTCGGGCGGCCCTCACGCCTCTTTGTACCATTACACGGATATTTCAGATCGCGGTTTTGATGCAGCACGTGAGAGTTTTGCCTCCTGGGCTGACATCTTGGCTTTTGATGTGCTCGATATCGAGCGTGACCCAGCTGACCAGGGCTTCACCGTCGGATCCTACGATGTTGTGATTGCTTCTCACGCCATTTCAACTACGACCACAGCTATCTCTAGTACCCTGGGCAACATCAAAAGCCTCGTCAAACCGGGAGGAACTTTGTTACTGACAGAGAATGTCAGGCCGAGTATTGACTTACAGTTCGTCAAGGGGCTATTTCCCAGCTGGTGGTCTGGTCAACGACACTCTGAACAAAATGTTGAGTCAAGTCCATTGCTCAGCGTCTCACTCTGGGACCGCTCTCTACAGGAATCTGGATTCACCGGCATTGATGTTGAGCTACACGACTCAGACAATGTCGACAGATTCGTGTCGGCCACCATCATGTCGACGCTGTCACAGCAGCCAGCAGGCCAGAGTGGCATAGATGTTGCCAAGGTCGTGATTGTTACAAGTGAAAAAGCCGGCAATCCTCCGTCTGAATGGCTCAAGAGTCTACAGAACTCCATTGCCTCCTCTTTCACGGATGTGGCGGGTGCAGAAGGCAAGGCGATCCCAAGCGTACAAAGCATTGAGTCAACCGCAGCTACGGCAGCCTGGTATGCTGATAAAATTTGCATCTTTATTGGAGAGATGAATGAACCTATTCTGCACAACCTTGACGCAGCGTCACTGAAGGGCATAAAGGCCATGAGCACGGGGTGCAAGGGGCTCATCTGGGTGACTCGCGGTGGTGCTGTCGACTGCGAACGCCCTGAAGTCAGCCTTGCAACTGGATTTGTGCGAACTCTCCGCAACGAATACGTTGGTCGTAAGTTTTTGACTTTGGATTTGGATCCCAAAGGTCCGCTATGGAATGAGTCTGGACATGAAGCCATCGCACAAGTGCTGCAAACCGCCTTCGGTCAGCAGCTGCCCGGACACGGCTCCGTACCAGAGAAAGGGCCCGCAGAACTCGAATATGCCGAAAGAGACAGCGTTATCCTCATCCCTAGAGTTTACCATGATGTGGCCAAGGACGATGCGCTTACACCGAGTACCCTAGAATTCGAGGAGGATACACAGGGAATCACAACCGTGGAGCCCTTTTATCAGCAACATCGTCCACTGTCCTTTCGATCAGAGCTCCTTGTCTTCGGTGACGATCGGAGCGCGGCCATCTACAAGGACTCGCTCCCACCACGTTTGGTAGAGGTGATGCCGAGAGCTTATGGTGCTGAGTTGCACCCTACAGACAGAACCATCACAGGCCACGAGTGTTCCGGCATAATCACCAGGGTCGGAAGCGAAGCGTCCAAGCACGGATTCTCCATTGGCGACCGGGTCATCTGCCTCTTGCAGCAGTCATCGTTCCCGAGCCGGGCCATCGTTGACTGGACGTCTGTCGTCCACATGCCGACTCGCTTGAGCTTCCAGGAGGCAGCATCCCTTCCCGCTGCATTTCTCGTTGCCTACTTTTCTCTCGTCAAGACAGCAAAACTCGAGAGTACTCAGACCATTCTTATTCACGCTGGTGCCGGAAGTATAGGACAGGCAGCCATCATGGTCGCAAAGCATATCGGCGCCACAGTATTCACGACAGTCGCCACCCCCGAACAGCGAGATCTCCTTGTCAAAGAACACGGCATACCTTCTCATCACATCTTTGACAGCAACAGCCCTTCATTCGGAGTAGCCATCACGGCTGCCACTAACGGGCGAGGTGTCGACGTCGTTCTCAATTCGCTGACAGGCCCTCTACTGCAACCGAGCTTCAACCTTGTAGCGCCCCTGGGCCACTTCATCGAAGTCGGCAAGAAAGACTCGCTGGCAAACAGCAACCTCGAGATGCTGCCGTTCACCCGCGGCGTGTCATTTTCAGCAGTTGACGTCCCAAGCTTGTTGCAATATCGGGACAGTGATGTGCACCGCTGTCTGGAAGAAGTCGCGCGTCTTCTCGAGCTCGAAGCTCTTTCACCTGTCTCTCCCATTATCGAGCACAGCATTCGTGACATTGCGCAAGTTTCTCGACTTCTGCAGGCGGAAGACGACACAGGCAAGAGAGTCTTGACGGTTGAGCAGGGCGACATGGTATTTGTTCTACCTCGTATCCCAACAGCCGCAAAGCTCTCTGCAGAAGCATCATACTTGATCGTAGGCGGCAATGGCGGCCTGGGACAGGCTGTGGCTCAATGGATGGTATCTCGTGGAGCCAAGAGCCTCGTTTTGCTGTCTCGAAGTGCTGGCCAGAGCCCTAAGATGAAGATGCTCGCAGAGGAGCTCCGCGAAGCAGGATGTCATCGCGTCTTGCCGGTGAGTTGCGACGTTGCCAGGGAGGACGATTTGGCACGGGCCATGGATACCTGTGCGCATGAGGGTCTCCCTCCAATCAGGGGAGTGGTTCATGCTGCCTTTGTTCTTCATGTGAGTATCTTCAACTTAACCCCTTGTTACTGTTACGATATTTTACGGCCCTCTCTAACAGCCATGCCCGTTTGATAGGACTCGTTCGTCGAAAACATGACACTTGATGACTACAAGTACACAATCCAAAGCAAGGTCTCGGGCGCCTGGAACCTTCACAACCAGTTCAACTTGCCCGGCGACCTCGACTTCTTCGTTCTCTTCTCCTCCATCAACGGCATCCTAGGCTACGCCAGCCAAGCCGCCTACTCCGCCGCCGGTGCCTACGAAGACGCCCTGGCTCACTGGCGCGTCAAGCAACAGGGCCTGCCCGCCGTGTCCATCGACCTCTCGCTCGTCGACGGCGTCGGCTACGTTGCCGAGGCGAGCGCAGCCGAGGCGATGCGCAAGTCCCTCATCAAAGCCGGACGCAGGGTCATCAACGAAGAGCAGGTTCTCGCTTCCCTCGAGTTGGCTATCGTGTCGCCCTACGATCCGCAGTTTATTCTCGGCGGTATTAACTCCGGTCCTGGACCGCACTGGGACGTTGACGGCGACCTGGGACGAGACATGCGTCTCCTGGCGCTCAAGTACCGCCAATCTGCTGCTTCTGATGAACAGGATGGCGAGGATGACAAGGCGGGCAGTGGAGGAGACTCTCTTTCTGCCAAGATTGCGTCTGCCTCGTCGCGTGATGAGGCGATCGCTGTCGTCGGATCTGCCGTGGCGGCCATGTTGGCTGACATGTTTCTCGTTTCTGTCGAAGAGGTAGACCTCAATGACTCGCCGTCGCAGCAGGGCATCGACTCTTTGGTGGCAGTCGAGGTGCGCAACATGCTCTTCAGCCAGGCAGGCGCAGAGCTGTCCATTTTCAATATCATGCAGAGCCCGAGCCTGGCGCAGCTGGTGGCTGATGTAGTCGACCGCAGCACGTTTGCCAAGTTTGCAAAGGCGTAATGGGCTGGTTGTACGGCTTACAGTATAGACGAGCATCATATGATAGAAGTGAGAGTCATCTTATATACAGGTAGTTCAAGTGTTGAGAATGAGTCTATATAGAATAGATAGTGAATGCCTTTAGACGTCCATTGAGCCAAATCATGTGTGAATAAGTCATTACATGCAGACAGCCATCTATGCAGCAGCAATCTAGCCACATGGTGGTAATTGACGCCTACTCTTTTGACAAACTAGGGCGTATATGAGTTCCAGTCTCGAACCTTGACACTGACTTGTTCCCGAGGAACTCTTCCGGTCTGTGTTTGTGGCACGGCTCTCTCCAGCCTTTCAGGAAAGGACCAGACACCACCAAATGATCGAATCAGGCAAGCACCTGATATGGACTACACATTACTCAGAGTCAGGAGGGTCGTTGGAGCATAACTCGTTCTACTTATATTATCATTATTCTTTAGGCTAGGAGATATCAGGTAGACTTTACATCGTCGTTCTGGACTTGGACGAAAGGGCTCCCAGGCCCCTGAAACATTTAGAAGTTGGCACCTCCGCACTGGATGGACCTTGCATTGTTGAACCAGTAAGCCGAGATGTCGGGCTTTCTCGACTCGTACCACTGACGAATGTCCGCAAGGCCCGAGGGGAAGATGGTCTGTGAACGGAAGTTGCCAGTATCATCCTGGCAGTCACCAGGCTTGACGGTGAATGTGCAAACAACGTCTTTGGTGCAATATGTCAGCTATAAACATCGACCGTGGGCAACATTCCGATGGGTGAGCTTACTGTCAGGCAGCCAGATGGATCCGAGCGTCTCCCAGCTGATGGCGTGGCACTCGTTTACCGTGTTGTAGGTGATGCTCTGGCTTGGGCCGGTGTAGTTACTTTTACACAAGTCAGTAAAGTTTTCAACAGCCCTTCTCAAAGAGGAATGTACTCACGGGCCAGCCCAGATCCAGATAGTGTTGGGCGCACGACGAGCGATCTGCGGCATAGTTAGTGATTGAGCTGGGGTAGATATTGTAATACTACGCTACGAACCTCTGGGATGGGAGGCTCAGACTGGCCCGTGGGCGAGCCGCTGCCGATCTGAGCAAGGGCAGCAATGGAGAGCAAGACGGCGTTCTTGAAACCGACCATGGTTGCGGATTGAGTGGCTGCTGCTGGGTTATGAAATCAGAAGGTATGTAAGACTTGCGACGAGTTGTTACAAGAAGCAACTGATGAAAGCAGCAGCTGAGAGCAAAGTTATATAGTGTATGAATGAACGGACAAGCAAGTCATTCGCCTCACTACGAATCTTACATACTACTATCGGGCTACTGCCAAGGTATCACTAGCTAAAGAAAGCAGCTGTGAAGCTTCTATTGGGTCGATACCTTGTCTAACACAGGGGATCGCGATGTTATTGTGGCGCCCAGCTGCACTGCCTACAGTAGAGGCGGTGTAAATCGATGGCAGCGTGGCCGGCGAAGCGTCCAAACGCAGGGGTGCCGACGAACAATTGAATGATGGAGACTCTGCTACGTTGTAGTTCGTCTTACGTCAGAAGCCAAAGCAAAAATAGAACCATGATGGAAGTTGGAGGAGTACATAGGCAAGATAGGATCCAATTGAAGCCGCTCGACAGGGGTTCAGGGTGCCAGAAGATCGATATATTAGGGCTGCTCCACCTTGAGCCTATAGGCTTGGAATCACCGTACTCTCCGGGAACTCCGCTGGAGACTTTGAAAAGTGGTAATATGGCTGAAGCAGTATATCATGCAACTTCGATAGGTTCCCAATGGTTGAAGTAATAGAACTGCCTCTTTGAAGTGTTATGTATACGGCAGATTTTCTTTGTGTTCAAGTCGACCGTGCCAAATCGAAGGCCTTCCACAACTCCAATTATATCTGGGCGCTAATGGCATCTAAAAGCACAACTACGGAGTACTCCATAGTGGTCATCCAGCTAGGCCCATGGCAAAGGAGCCTAGAAGCTAGAAGCGATACAAAAGTATGGAATCTTTGGACATGATTCGCTGACAGAACCAAGCCTAAAGAAGAGCCGAGAGCATCAGATACATCTCTCTATAGTGAGAGTTCCCTACAAGCCTCAAGTATTACGGCAAATAACCTCTCTTTTTCGGGATATGAAAATAGATTCCCGAAAATGCCACCAACTCAAAAAACCGGCTTTGCCCCCCTGAAATTGACATACAGTATCCATCGGCTACTGCAAGGAATAAGCCCAGTGGTGTTATTATTTGAGCTTTTACAAGCAGTCATCACACCAGATAAATTCAAGCTGACTGCAAAGTCGGTACTCATACGTGCAAGGTGCGTAAATTGGACGCATCGCACCACCCGTACTCATTGAACTCGAGTACCTTGAGACAAGTCGACGCAAGTCAGCGCAAGTCGACACAGTTCGAGAAAGTATAGGACAAATCAACACAGATCAGGCTGGTCAACCTATTCAGAACCAGGATGCAAAAGAGCAGTCACCACACAACCCTCTATATCTCCCTAGCCTACAATTTCGATCCCTCGTAACAAACATGCAATTTTTTTAGCATCAAGAATATATTCAACATAGATAGTCCCAGCCATAGGAAACTGCGCAAACACATCATGCCCTCTGCGCCACCATCTGCACTCAAGCTCTTTACAAGCACTGAGAGTAGTACTGGTTCAGGACCTGGCAAGTCGTGCCGGCCTCACATTGCGTGGGCCCCGAGTACCCAATTCCGCCGCACTGGCCCCAGTGAGTCTGCGTCGGGCCAGGAGAGCTTCCAGTCCTCGTGCTGGTCGGCCCCACGGTGCTGCTCGGGCCGCCGGGCGGGGGCGGAGAACCGCCCGAGGAGAGCTGGCTGTTGATGAAAGCAAGGGCTTGCTGGCCGTACTCCTGGCCATAACCTTGGTGGACGTTGGGGTCGTTTCCAGTGCAGCAATACGGGTCTGCGGAATCGCAGTATGACTTGATCTTGGACGCGCTGGGGCAGACGAAGCCAGCTGGGCGGGCGTCGAACTTTATAGAATGGCAGTGTCAGAGAATAGTCATGACGAACAACTTCATAATACGGCGAAGACTTACACCCTGGGTAGTACAGGTTCCGACGTTATATGGCAGTCCATGAATGTTTCGAGGGTCTCCCATGAGGATTGCGGCTTTCACAGCGGTAACTGCTCCCGCAGTTAGGGGAACAGCAGTGTTTGTGATTCCTTCACCAGGGTCACCTCCTCCACAGAGGGCATTATCAAATATTTGGGCACCCTATGTAAAGGTATTGTTCAGTTTCCGGTGCAACCAACAGAAAAGGAGACAGAAGGGGGTGTCGGGAGTGGCACAAACCTGTGAGTATCCAACCAGCACCAGCTGAGTGTCTGGGCAGGAGTTGTGAAAGTTGTTGATCGCAGTAGCCGCAGCGTTGGTACCGTTCACAACGGAATTGGCATAGCTGATGCCGCCACAAGAAGCCTGACCACCGCAAGCCGGATAGACGATTGCCTCGGATGTGGTTCCCGGATGGGCTTGGATGACCAAGTTTACAACAGTAATGGAGGAGCCATAGCCCGGACCTACTGTCGTTTCACGGGCACCGAAGACGTGGATTCCTGGGCATTGTCGCTTCACAACGGTCTCCCCATCTACCGGGCTGCCAGCGGCAAGGAGGGCTTGGCTCAGCAAAAGAGTAAGGGTATCTTTGATTGAAGGCATTTTTGCTTCTTGCACCAGTGAGATTGGTTCTGGAAGCCAACGATGAGAGATGTTGGTTATTCTAGAGACGAATGACGTTCGGGGAGCACAGGACTTTTATATCGATATGAAGTGTTCTCGTCAAGCTTCAAGGCTATCCATAGGTTTCAATAACTGATCTCTTCACATGACCCCAGATTTTGCCTCTCAACTGTCAACTCACTCCATACTAGAGCCCCAATTCATTCTAGTTACAGTTATATTCCTTTCCTCCGGACATTGATCAATACTCTGAGCTGTAAGAAGTAGAAATAGGCTAAATCAGCTTTCAGGACAGCGATGTTTCCCGATTGGACATTTATCTCTAAAGCATTCTATTTGCCATTAGAAGCGATTTGCGTTCAAATGCTCTCACAGTCATCGCGTCGTCATATAGAGCGGAACAAGACGAAAGATGTGTTTTGAGCTCATTGATATGCCTACAGGGACATTGCCCGGAACACCTTCCAGTACGCTAAATCCTGCGTCTGGCTACAGCAGCATCACTTTTGAAACAAGTGTATATTTGTCAATAAGACAGGCACAGTATGCTTTTGCCAAATGGTTGTTCAACGAATATAGAAGTTTTCAACTAGCTTTGCAAATATTGGTGAGCTGAACCCAACATTCTGGCTTGTTCTGTTGACATCTGCATCCAATATTATCATCTCTTCCGTGCTGCAGGCCACGTTATGCACGTCTCACATTAACCGAAGAGAGGGTGGCTGAAAGACAGTTTTAACCGCACATTGGCAGCGGATGCTCCCATGGGTAAAGTAGCATAGAGGCACTGCACCCCGTATTCATTCTCAGTATATGTGAATATTACATGTAGGCTAATTTACACTCTTCGGCCAGACGCACCCCAGATCTGCAGAGTCAAGTCCGACCGCCCGATGGTCCCCGTCAAGTGGATGTGGATGATCCGGCAATGGAAGCGTGGAGGTTGACCTGTTCTGGTAATGCCATTGAACCGACCTGCGTCTGGGAATTTTAGGCAATATTCTTGCCGTGCCATTGACAGCAGATGCAAGAGGGCTGCACCCCACAACAATGCCTTTTCACATGCAACATCGTTGCCGTGAGAGATGTAAGCTTGGCGGTTTTTCTTGTCAGGGTTGAATCGGAAATCTGGGGTCAATTCTCATATGGCAGAAGTTGACTCGAGAAATCAGACATTATCTCTTCGTTCTGTGGACACTGGAAGGTTACCCTGCAAAACTAACCCCAGACTGCAGAGAACCATCGGCACGTTGATAATAAACACCCGAACGAACGAGCAAACGAAAACCGTCATTTCAACAGAGGGAGCCCCAGCACCTTGATGATCTGGTAGTGGAATAGCCCTCTACTCATTACTGAAACTGCCGTAAAAAATCAGCGTTCATTATCATTTCTCAAGTAGACAGATGTGAGCTCAGTCCAGGCATGTAAGCCCCGAGAATAAGCCCAGCGACTTTGCAGCTCTCTTCTTCACTTGAATCAAGAAAGTGAAGATGGGATGTAGTACAGCTTCCAGAAGATTACGTTCTACACCAGTAAGAAAGTCAAGTGCAGGTGTAGTATAGACTGTAGGGGATATTTTCTACATCAGCAGCAAAGTCCAGGACGTCTGGAAATACTATGGCTTACACAACTCGCATGTGACTTCCTATCGCAAGGAATGATGCCCGTTTGTTTGAAAGGGCCTACGGATGGGTTATGATCCCCCCAAAGCGACAATGGTGGAGGCTACATCAGATGTGCCGACAATAGTTCGACAAGGAATCTAAGAGGGCACTTCCCCAGGGGTTTTTGAAGCGCACAGGCCGAGAAGGCGTCATTTATAGTATTAATCGGCTGTTGACTTCTATCTACCTAAGCAAGCATGCTCCCACTCTAAACCTTTCCTCATCTCATACTCCTTCACCTTATAAGCACTGAGAGTAGTACGGGTTAAGGACCTGGCAAGTCGTGCCGCTCGCGCAGACCGTAGGGCCGCTGTACCCGATTCCTCCGCACTGGCCATAGTGCGACTGAGTAGGACCCGTGGCCGTCGTTGTCCTTGAAGTCGGTGGCGGAATGGTAGTGCTTGGCTTCGAAGTGGTCGTTGGCCCCGAGGTGCTGCTACGCGCAGTGGTCGTGCTTCCGGGGCCGCCGGGTGTGCTGGCGCCGCATCCCACGCGGGTCGATTGAATCGAAATGTCGTCGAACCAAACGGTGTTGACGTCTCCGCTGTAGGCCTCCCAGCCAAAGTTGACACCGGTGATGTCCGGGATGTAGCTTGCCCTCGTCCAGCCGGCGTCATTCGGGTTGTCGACGCCCGGCCCTACGGTCATGCCCGGGATGAGGTCGCCGTTCAGCCACGTCTCGATCGTTCCGTCAGTGCCCAAGTGGTACTCGAAGCACTGGAACGAGCCAGTAGGCAGAGTCACCGTAGAGGCAATGCCGTTTGGAGACAGGTCCGGAAGGGTAGCATCGTCGGATTCGCGGTTGTAGTCGAGGACTTGGCTTTGACCGCCGATTCGAAGGTGTTTCCCGTCTTGGGCGTTGTCCGGCATGATGATGAATGTGACGTGGTTGCTGCCGAGAGCAGTTTGAAGCTGACTACAGATAACAATTTACTACACGTATGCGGAAACCCTTGACGAGACTACTTACATCCAAGCTCTGACATATACATCTCCAGTCGGCACCTGAGTAGTGCCAAAGAAGATGTGTCCGCAATAGCCATTGGGGCCACCAACGACCTTCATCGAATTGCTGCCGCTGTGGGCTACTGTGGTGTCGAGGCTGACGGTTCCGCCCTGGTTGCAGTCCGGTGCCGTGATGGGCCATACACTCTGGTCCCAGCCTTCCTCGAAATCATCTGAGATTTGGGCGGCAGAGAGGGATGAGAGGGCCGCAAGGGCCAGAAGAGCAGTCCGGCGGACCATGTTGGCGCAAATTGTTCAGCTGAGGACCGAAGATGATGTGGATTCGACTACTGGGAAGTGAATTGGGTCTGGGTTCTTGGATAGGGCGTTTACAGAGCATTCATATGGCCAGGTCTATATATACTGCAAAGGCCTTTCTGCTGTACCTGGTGTTGGTGATTTGTTCCGGACTTGCTAAATTGCGTCTTCATCAGAGTAGCACTCTATCGGCTTAACCGGCACTTGAGCGTGCGCCCGAGTATTTGAACCGTCACGGTTAATCGCTTAATGGACTGTAACGGCTGCGCGGATATCTACGTTTCTGAAACGTCTCGATCCTGCGGCTGAAGTGCAGGGAAAAAGGCAAAATTTTCCTGCCTAATGTGGCTGGTATGCGATACGCGGCGAGTTTAGAGACACTATCGTAACGGATCTCCTAGGAACAGACCTTGGCTTGGGGCTCGTCTGGTTTATATTTGCGAATAGGTTACGTAGACTGATCAGTTTAACAGTATCAAACGCCTCGCAGAGTAGAATAGTAAATACAATTTCATTGCTATATGAACAACTGATTATCTAAACTGAACAAAGGAGTGTGATAGGCTATTAACCCTGTCGACGATCACCGGATTTTCTCGATAATCTAACAATCTGCTCTTGGTACTATCACAATAACTGTTGACTTCATTTAGTGAGTCCAAGAGCCCAATATTCAGCAAAGTACATGTAAAAGGCTATTCCTCCTTCGGCTGAATAACTACCCAAAGGCCTTGGATCACTGGCCCCGTGTGTATATCAAAGCTCCAAAGACCCGCCTGGACGTCCTCCGTACCGCCGTGATGCCCATCACTTAAAGGCATTGGGCGTAGTAGGGGTTCAAGGTAGAGCAAGTGGCCGGCGGCGCGCATCGAGTCGGGCCTGCGTACCCTGAACCGCCACACTGGCCGTACAAAGTCTGGGTTGGGCCGCCAGCAGGTGCCGACGTGGTGGCAGGAGGCGTAGAGCTGGGTCTGCTTGTGACCTGGGACGTCGACCTCGCCGAGGTTGTAGTTCTGCTGGTCGGCCCTCCGGGGCTGCTACCGCCAGGAAGCGTCGCGCTGGCGGTGGCCGTGGCGGCGGAGCTACCCTGGGCGACACTCGTAGGGAGGCCTGATACCACTGTAGGTCCAGGAATAATGTACGAAAGTGGGCTGGTGTAGATGTTGATGAGGACACCGGGATCCGTCGCCTGGTAAAGGTCGGTTCCTAGGACGCCGCTGGGCTGCAGGTCTCCAGTGCCTGTGACGGCGAGGTTGAAGCACTGAGGGTAGTTCTGAGCACCGTTTGCTTGCCCGGCGCTGTGTAAGGCGATGATCTCGTGGCGGAGCACGTAGTTGCCCGACGCAAGATTGTCGGGGATCTTGACAACCCAGGTGTTGTTGTTGGAGATCAGCACGTCCGAGGCCCAGGTGCCCGGGTCTCCGCCGCTGATGAGACCAACGCCATCAATCTTGAAGAACTCAAGCGTTGTCTTGTCTACGGTCTCGCAGTCACCGTTGCAGTTGGCCAAATAGTCCACGATAGGGCCTGGGTGTGGCCACGGAACCGGCACCCACTGAAAGAGAACGGTGTCCCCGGCCTTGACAGACGCGTGCCCCTTGGCATTGGTGGCATTCTTGTGGCAGATGATGTCGGGGCTCTGATATGCGTCTGGTGAAACGAAGCCTGCCGAATGGTGTTAGAGAAAGGTTTACAGATCCAGATGCGAAGAACTTACCGTTGTCAAGATCAGCGGCTGTCCAGCCCACTACTACGGGCGGGTTTGATTCGTAGGGGAAGGTTGTCGGGTCATAGCCTTGGTACCACACTCCGTTGACGACAATGTCGTTGATGTGTCCGTGGCCGACAACACCAGTTGCCACCATCAGTGCGGTGACAAGGAGGTTGGAAAGCTTCTGAGCCATCTTTGTGAAAAAGTACGACAAGTAAGTCTGAGTGAGTCCTTATTCCTGTGTACGCCCAAAATTATGCGTCGACAGATGTTCTATACTAGATGATCATGTCCGTATTTATGCACCACAGCTGGCCTTCGGTGCCTCCGCGACCCATCCAACGGATTTGCCGAAGCATAGCTCCAGTCACCTCCTGCAGTGCCGAGTGACCCGTCAAATCAAGGAGAAAAGACATTATACCATCGCGGCTAAATAATTCATCCCGGAAGTAGAAGAATGGAAGGTCTTGTCCCGACATATATTATCCTTTTTTGCGGAGAAGGTTGCATCGGCTAGAAAAACTTGGCACCCAAATTCTCCCAGCCGCTTCGTGAGCTTGGCAGTTCGAAAAATCGATTACTCGATACAGTGTCTATACATGTCAGTACCCCTATTTCGAAACACGAGGTTGAGTGACCCCCAAGAAGGGAAGCGTGTCACTCCGAATATGGAATCCTGCGTTGCAAGAAAGGAAAGGCATGCGACCAAAGAGCAGAACTTGATGACACCTAAAATTTCCCGTTGCCTATGCCCCTGACTCTTGGAGTTCAGTTGATGGTTACAGAAGGTAGCCAACCGAGGGAAGGACAGATGCTATAAGAGCTTGGATAACTGACATATTGCTCTTTGAAAAACCGCTCCTCCAGGTACATAAACGCCATCTTAAATAGAGACGGTTGGCGATGGCCATCTGAGCATGAATACAGATTTCAAGATTTCAAGACCAGTCTTACCTTACTCTGAGCAGAAGACCCCTGATTCGAAGTTGTATAACTTAACAGATCTTTCATAAATATCTCGACGTATGATCTTAGTTGTCTCGGGTTCGTGATTTGCTGATGGCATGGGAAAAGCCCTCTCTAATGAACCAGAGTTGCGTTGAGAGGGGTGAAAACAGGATAGATAGCCAAGTACGGAGCATAACAGGGAGAACGGCACGTTGAGTTGTTCTATAGAGTAAAAGCTTATTATCTAGACATTATATGTGGTGAAAGAGTCCATTTCTGTGGAGAGCATGTCAAGCACGTCGTTGGTTGCACAGTAAAGTCATTGGTAACGTGTCCAGCCGCTGGCTTGTGTAACTGCAAGCATGCAAGGACAGTAGAATATATGCGTCTCGGCCATGAATAGAGGAAAGGTCAAGATTAAGCCATATCATATGACGAGCTGGTCATGACAACGGGTCAAATTGCTCGATCAGTTACTGCAACTTGGTGGGAGGAAGCCGTAGCAGATATTTTCGCCAGAAATATGTGAGTTCTCCAGAGGTGCCATATATATTCCAGCAAGCGCCAGTACCGAGTCTGACCCTGCGAGGAGTCTGAATCCTGGAAGATCCGTCCTCAACGGCGTGATGAATCCTGTAACGGAGAAAGCTTCACAAGATATCGAGCAGGCGTCATCTGCTGTAACTACACGTATCAAGCTTACTACACGCTCTCTTTCTATACATCAACAGAATTCTCATCTCGGAAGCGGATGATGTTCTGATAGGGCCGATAGCACTGGAAGGAAATGGGCCACACAAAGCCCAAGAATTCCATTCTCGGTGTGTATGGATATCGTATTTATCCAGTTGGCGCGAGTAATATAAAATCTCCGAGCGACTGTCGCTCTAACGAGTTCCGTTTGACCATCGACGATGAAGAAGAACACTCATTGGTCTCAGCCTCAAGTAGTGATAGGCTGGGAGGATGCGTGATTTATCGCGAGATGTGCGGCAGCCAGTGTAAGAGATACATTTCATTACAGCTCTAGAGTGAGGGCATGATGCACCTCACTATGATGACTCACTCACTTCACTCTTTTCCTTGCTGGAAGGTCTCATCGCTCACCATATATAGCGAGAGCCACTTCCCCGAGCCGAGTGCTTGAGAAGCCGATGCTGACCCAGACTGGTTACATGTCTTGGGGAGTCTATGGCAGGCTGCTTTCTTTCAAACAGACACGGGATCCAGACACTATTCGACTGCAAGGCACGTGCGGGTTATGTTGGACAGAAAATCCGATTTACTCCTGCCCTGGAGACGATCTGAACACTTCTGCCCCTTACCTCTGAGATGGCAAAGGTGATTTGATTCGTAGAGTATTGAAGGCCAATTCGATCTTCAATCATAAGATTTGGATGATTTCATTTCAACAAGGATGTCAAAGCGTGGTTGGACTGACTTACCAGAAATACAAGAGTCTCTTTGAGGCTCCTATGCAATACAGTATGCACCTAAGGCAGATATAGATGCATATACATAGACGGAGAAATGATATGCTTTCTGAAACGGATCTACGCATCTATCTGGCTTTGATGCTTAATTCTGTCAAAGGGAGCGACGAGTCCATGATCAAAAAGAAACACCCCCATGAAAATGTAATGTATATCGTGATGGTCAGGTTCCGGAAGAAAAGAAAAAGGGACAAAAAAGCAAAGTCTGACGGGTGTGGGATTCGAACCCACGCCTCTTGCGAGATGCGAAATCCTGTTTAAGGATCAAGATATTATCTTGAGTCGCACGTGTTAGACCACTCCACCAACCCGCCTTAGCGGCTTTGTTGAATATTCGCGACAAAATAAGCCCTATACGGATGCAGAGTGTCCTCCATACCCCGAACGCGATGGCCCTGTGAAGAATGTCTTGCAGGTCTGGAAAAAGGCATTTGACTGTTTTTGCTTCTCTGTAAGTTGATTGCCCCTCAAAAATAGTTCTTTCTCATGCTGTGGCTGATACATAGGTTTGCGTAATGCACCTAGGCCATAGGTAGCTACAGTCTTCAGCTGCAACTACCTACATGATGCTATTCAGCCCCAACATCGAGCAAATTGATCTTGAATGACACAACTCCGCGTCCGTCTTTCGATCTCAACGTACGTCGATATTTTTACTTGCAAAAAAGTCCATTCTATCTTAGTGGCTCTACCTTACGGCTCATGTGCCGTTCTTACAGTCGTCTTCCTCTCATCCCACGTTGCTGGGTAGTGATATGCAGTAAACTACCACGTTGGGTTGTAATCTAAGGCACATGCGTCATTGCATTTCCTGGGTATCTACTGTTTTATGTAGTATGAAAAGGTAAGATGCCTGAAGGTATATATATGTAACTCTTGCATGATACACAAATACTTTTCAGGCCAGAATACAGGTAGGTACTTTGGCTGCCTTCCAGCCTGATCCAATGTGTCATGTGATTGCTGGTATAACTGCGTCCATTGCAGCGGCTGAAATGCATGCATGTATTGAGTGTTGGGCATATCTCGCATTCAGCCCAATCCTGAACCTGTTGGCTGGTCATCAATGTCGCGAGCCTCAACGATATAAGCCCAGTAACTATCAAGTTTCAGCCTATGTATCGCGCGATAAAGCATCATGAGTCCTGGTCATACGAAAGAATCGCGTTCTTGGCGGGGATTGCAGTCCCGTGCCAAAGCCGAGATCAAGAACATCGTCCATCGGCAGTCGTCACGAAGTCTGAATGTTGCAGGATCATCTAATAGAGGCTCCTCGCCTACGCCCACTGCATCTACGCCTGCTCACGGTACAGACACTGCACTCCAGGGAACTCCTGCATCTCGCACCGCAGACTCTCTGGATGCGGCGAAATCTTCTGATAGCAGGCCTCTGGCCGTACCCAGCTCTTCCACAGTTGTTCCCACCTCAGAGGCCTTGAATGAGGCGAAACATTTCGGAAGCAGTCTCTCAGCCCTACCTCCTATGTCTACCGTCGCTTCACCGACGGAGCCTACTGTCCAAACAACCCCCTACCCCTGGGTGCCGGATTCTCTTGCCTCCGCTGATGAGCATTGTACACATGAGAAAAGACCAGACACAAATACGAAGCCTAACTTATGGCTAAGAGCTTACGAGACTGCTACTCCTGACACGAGAAAGTGGATCGACGGCTTACTAGATGTGGCTTCATCACTAGAGAACGACAAGGGGGATTCAGTATGGGTGGAAGAGCTTCTGGAGCTCGTGAAGGGCCTGCAAAAGAAATACCACGAGGAAGCCGTCCAGATAAGAATAGGGAGAAGGAAAATTTCTCCAAAAGACTGCGTGGCAGCCTCCATGACTTGGCTTACAAAGATTGGCGATATTGTGATCAAATTCTCACCCAATCCATCCGGCCTTGCATGGTCAGTCATCAAAGCTCTTTTACAAGTGAGTCTCTTTCGAATTTGAAATCCCTCATTTCGTGAAACTGATCGAAAGAAGGTTCCAGTGACCAGTGCAGGGGAAACGACTGCTATCCTCGCATCTTCTGCGAGAATCCTGGGCATACTTGGGCGTGGAAAAGCATACGAGGCCGTGTTCAAGGACGACAACACTCCCCTGGAACGGCTGCAGACTCTGGAAATTGGGCTTGTTGCACTCTATGCCAAATCGTTGGACTTGCTTGCATATGCCGCCCAGCATTTCAAGAATGATTATCGAAAGGTCCTTGGATGGATTACGGATCCAGGACATGCTGAGTCCAATATGGCTGAGTTGATTCAATGCGAAAGGGATGTCGTCTGGGCAGCTGAGTGCTGCGAAAAGGCCCGTCGCACCGCCGCCGACAAAGGACATACAGAGCTTCTTCTGAGTCTTCGCGAGTCTACTACGCATATTTTTGACGACATGCGCCGTGTTTTCGACGAAATGGAAGCCCAGGAGATGCTTAAGGCGCTTGACTATTTCAGCAACGTCAAGTTTGGAGAACAGCATCAGAAGAAAGCTGAGGCGAGAACCCCAGGAACAGGTCAATGGCTGCTGCAGCGTTGCGAGTTTCAAGATTGGGACAGCACTGAAAGCTCGGCCATTTTATGGCTTCACGGTACTGGTAAGTAGTTTTGAGAGGATGAACATTACCACGATGACCCTGAGCTGACTTGACCAGTGGGTATGGGCAAGTCCTTTCTTGCATCCAGTGTCGTTGATCACTTTCTCAATCCTCATGATGCGGCATCAAAATCCGCCGCCCCTGATGCCGAGGATGATCAAGGATTTGCCTTCTTCTACTGCGAACGCGGTTCGGCTGATCTCAGCGAGCCCATTTCTGTTCTACGCAGTTTTGTCCGGCAACTCTCTATTGTTCCTTGCTACCCAAATCTCATGCAGAATAAATACATACAGCTGTACCGAGAGAAGAGGAAGCAAGGCTCTAACCTCAGTATCAAAGAATGTCGAGACCAGTTGCTCGTGTCCGCAAACCTTTACCCCAGGACGACACTGATTCTGGATGGGTTAGACGAATGCAATCCAGAAGAGAGGTGGAAGCTTATTGACGTTCTCTCCGAGCTAGTCAATCAGGCAGAGAATTCTGTCAAGCTTTTCATTTCGAGCCGGCGAGAGCAAGATATCGCGGCGCACCTTGATTCTCACAATGTAATCGAGATTAACGCCGGCGATAATTGGCAAGATATTGCAAATTTCGTCAAACAAAGGATTGGAGAAACCGAAAAAACTGGGAGATGGAACTCCATTTCTAAAGTTCTCAAGGACAAGGTCGAGAAGACTGTTTGTGAGAAAAGCCAGGGAATGTGAGTTCATTACCTAGTCAATAGACGCATCTGTGGCGTTACTAAAATTTAGCCAGGTTCAGGTGGACATATTTACAGATGGACCAACTCTCAAAATGTCGCCAGGAAAAGCAACTAGAAGCACGACTAGGAAAGCTTCCCAAGACATTAAACTCTACTTACGACGAGCTCTTTCGAGGGATTCAAGAGGGTGACCGAGAAATCCTGGAGAGGGCCGTTAAGTGGGTTATGTGCACCACGAGTCCCTTCACAACCAACCAGATTCTTGATGCTGTTCGGCTTTCTATAGCCAGTGATGGGACAAGACTCGATTGGGATCCTATGATTACCGAGGCCACTTTGCTAGACATCTGCAGCCACTTGATTGTCAAGGACTCAGAGTCTGGTAAGTGGAAATTCCCGCACACATCGGTAATTGAGTACTTTGAAGAAGTTCACCTTTGGAACCTCGAGCAATCCCACTCGTTTGTTGCCAAGATCTGTCTTCTATATCTTCTCGACGACGAAAAGGTTGACTGGATGATATCGAAGGCTTACCTAGATGATATCTACCTGTCTACCGGGGAACTGGCGCAGGATTACGGTATCATCCATGGGTTCTATGACGACATAATGCCCAATAGGACTATATGTGAAATATGTCAAGACGAAGAATCTTGTAATAGTTGCAAGAGCAAAAGCTTTCAACAGTACGTGGGGCTCAGATGGTTCAGACATATTTCGACGCTCGAAAAGCTGGAATCGCGTGAAGCCGCGGTCTCAAATCTGCTGCAACAATTCCTGGGAACCGATCAGACGCCCATTCAGAGTAGTCGTCACTACCGGCGTTGGGTCGAGCTGTTCTTCGGCGGTCAAGAGAATGATACCGAGAGGGACTACAGCTACGAAGAGGGTTATCACGAGTTTTTCCCCGCTGAATGCCCCCTGATTGGGATATGCATCCTTGGCTTTTATCATCTCTTGCAAGACTACTGGACATCTCCCATAGATGTGCTTCCCATTAATAAAGCAAAGAGAGACTTGCTCTCAATTGCTGCATTTCATGGCCACTTGGAAATCTGCGAGAGACTCATTGAGCACGGCGCCAATGCAAACAGACAGATTGACGACCATCCCAATGACTATAGTGCATTGAGCACAGCCGTGCGTCAAGAACATGTCGACATAGTGAGGCTTCTCATCGATCATGGAGCAGATCCGAATCTTCCGGTCAACGACAGTTCCCCTCTGTGTGCCAGCAGAAGCCACAGTCGCAACAACAATACAGAATGCCTTGAGATTCTGCTGAAAGCTAAAGCAGACCCCAACCTCCCTTGCGGTTCACTATGCCATACTCGTTATGCCTTAGAAGGAGCTGTAATTCAAGGAGATATCGCGGAGGCGAGACTCCTGCTCGAGAACGGCGCAAACCCAAATATCGGGACTGATGACGAACGCTTTGACAACCTTCTTCTAGCGGCAGCAGTTGAAAAAAATCGTGATATGTGTCGACTACTCCTTGAACATGGAGCAGATGTCAACGCGCATGCGGAACGCGGGAATTATGGCAGCCCCCTTGCAGCAGCAGCATATAACGGCGATCAAGACCTATGTCAGCTGTTCCTTGGCCATGGAGCAGATGCTAACGCCTCTCTCGACTCCGGCAATTATGTTACTGCCCTTGTTGCTGCTGTAGTAGGAGGCAACAAAGAAGTGTGTCGGTTATTGATAGAGCATGGGGCAGACGTCAACAACCGTTACCAAAGTTTGAGTTTACGCAGAGCTATCCTCGTGTCTATTACTGTGCACAACCTTTGAGAAGCAGCCAGTCTTGGACAGGTTTATGGTGGATACGGCAGATATCGAGGTATCTTGTTGAAGGTGATTATGTCCAGCTGAAGGTTCTGATCAGCATTGGCAATACGATCCAAGGATATATTTATCGCTGGGTACCACGTAAACCTTCGAGCTTATCGGAACTAAAGAGGCGAAGTTGAAGAAGAAACTGTGTGAATGATACCTGACAATAGCCGCGTCCTTGATTGTGTTCAGACTTATGATTTGCGTAGAGTTTGGGGCGTTAATGGCACTATCATCTGATCGACATGGAGACATATTCCACGCTATTGAGGCGTGCCAGCAAGTATCTAACATAAGATGATCTGCTCCCAATTCATATCGTCACCAGATGTTTTTCTATCCGTCCGCTTTCCAAGTTGACCATCCATAAAATCGTGAACATAACAGTCCCTAACAAGCTCGAACCAAAGCGTCTCGTCATTCGGTACAGCAACTGACCTGACCACGCAAGGAAACCGACAACCCTTGAAGAAGATAAGACGGCCCCCCGGTTCCGAATCGCGAGGCACAAGCCCGATATACCCCAACGAAGACACCATAAATCTCTTGGAAGCAGTGGTGATTTTCAAAAAGTCCTCCATCGTCGGAGGGGGCACAATAGACCTCATGCCTCTCTTTGCCAGCCTCCATAAGAGTCTATACCACACGGAAAAGCAAACCTTCATTTCCTCCACCGATGGCTGTGTTAGCTGCTCCGGAGGCATGTCTCTGGTAAACCTTCCAGAGACTGGATCTTGCCAGGGCACATCGGACCGAATCATTTCTTTTGTCAAAGGACCCATGCGACGAAAGACCTGGTCATTGGGCCATATGGCCATGTCTGTGCAGAGAGTCTTGCAGAAGTCTACCCATGTTGTGCTTGGTGAATGAGTGTGAGCAAGTTGCATCCATTCGAAGAATGCTTGCCACATAGTTTCATCGCTGGATCTACTAGAGACGACCGGTTCACCAATGGCTTTGGTATGGTCTAGAATGACTCCTTCAAGCTCTAGCAGTCTGTTATTTTTCTCGTGAACTTTCACTGAGGCTTTCGCTCCAGAAGCAGTATCATACACCAGGAGAGAATCAATCTGAGTGGCTGCAGTCTCATCAAACTCACCCACCGTAGACCAATCTGGCACCCACGACGGAAGGCTGTCATTTCGAAACCGTCCAGCAGCGGCCAGCAGATCAAGTGAACCAGACTCCCCAATGATCATTCTTGCCGTGGTAATGTAGACGTCTTCCACCTGTTTCCCATAATCGGGATATATGAAGGAAGGCGTGTTTCGCGGCTTTATAAGTGACAGGAGAGCAAAGACCTTATCCCTGGCATCGGTAGCTTTCCGTCTGTTATGCAGGTAGAGATACTTGTAAAGCAGATATGGCTGTAGGTTTCCGGTGACTCCAGCCGCTACCGATCCCTCAAAGTCGGTTTTTGGCAACATGGATGAAAGGAGGAGCTGATCAGCTTCTTCAGCATGACAAAGTTTTGCGTGGGTTTGGCGTGTCTTGTCAATGCTGTCGACATGAGCAAGCAGACGCCTAATAGATGCGGCATATCTTGGCGGAGCCTCGTTGGCCAGGTATGAGGTGCAGCAATCCGCGATGTGAGCCCCCATGCTATCCGCTGCCTCGTATATCATGGCCCATGGAGCCATAGCCGTCCGATAGATGAAGATGGGGGCATGGCCGACGACGCTCTCTTGCAGTGTCCATACTCGAGCCCACCATGGTTCCGTGGTGAAGTCTTCAAACGATTGGATCAGAGTCTGCCAGGGGTAGTGGGTGTCCTGTTCGTTGGATGTTGCTCCCCATTGGGGCACAGTACCGAGATGGTCGTCGATCTGTAAGTTTACAGCCCGTCCTAGAAAGCTGAAAAGAACCGATGACTCCTTATCCTCATTCTCGTTTTTCCCCGCAGTCTGGGAGCTTCTTTTGTCCCAGATATTAGGAAGCATTGTTTTGAAGTATTCTTGGCCGTAGACGCGAAAGCGGTATTTGTCCAGCGCTTTTACCCTCTCAAAGTAATCCTCAGCAGCCGAATCAATGCCCGCTCCAAGAACCACAAACACGGTAGCAGCATCCGTATAAATACGATCCATGATGGAAACCTGCGAGGACCGCTCCGCGATATCCTCCTGGTTGATGCAGATGGCGTCAGCCCATAGCGGCATGCTCCAGCCAGCGCGGCGATAGTAGCGAAGAGCAGTCTCCAAGCTTCGTCCGATGGAGTGCCGAAGACCGTTTATCTGTAGAGTGCCATCTTGCGGCGGCCCTCCCCAGACATACGAGAGAGCGGCGTACTGGGGCTTGTCGTTGAGGGAGACGACATTGATTTCGCAGCGGATGTCGGCAGTCCATTCGTCGGGGAAGATGGTGAGGAGCCGAATATCTCCGTCTTTGAGAGCTAGAGACGAGTATAGACTGTGGGGATCCATTCCAACTGAACAGCCGTGAGTACATTAGAGAAAGTGTAGTCTCTTCTTAGTCAACGACCTGAGGTGTGACAGCACGTATAGACACCCACAGACACACAGCTGAAGAATCAGCAACACCACCTGATCCCCCAAGTCTGTCGTCTCCCACACATGCATACAGAAAGTTGAGTAAACAAATCAACACCGTTTAAGCCATAGTTCCCTAAGCCGCAATCGGATAGCTGCCGCATCCCCCATCCATAGCGTGGGCGGCCTACTGTACTAACAAAACGGCCGCAAGCGATCCAGCTCCCCCTTGTCCAACCAAACCAAAGCACCATCAACGCCACCACCACATTGAGAAAGCCAATATCACATCTCGACTACTTTCTTCAATGCTACCCCGCGCCATATCTTCTCGCAACAAATCATCTATAAATCGACCAAGATGTGATAGAAGAAAATGGGAATCAGGCTTATGTGTTTTCTTCATACCACCAGTCAAGCCTCATCAGGCGAACTCTCACCACAACGACAATATCATAACCACCTCTCAAACCCACCATCTGAATAGCTTCTCAAAATGTCCAGCTCAAGCCGCGATAGCACCCCCGAAAACCATGAAACTGATGCCCTCAACTCCTCCTCGGTCTCAACCTCCAAACCCACCACCAACAAACTCCAAACCCTCCTCTCCCTCCCCCTCCATCGAGACCGCTACTACGGCGCCCTCACCTTCAACACAGCATCCTTCATCCTCCCCGCCCTCTACTCCACCCTCTCCAAGCTCTGGGTCTCCAAGATCGACTCCTCCATGGTCGTCACCACCGACTCCTTCACCTACATAAACACCTTCTCCGAAGCCCTCAACGAAGGCCTCCCCCGCGCCGCATGGCTCATCATCGGCGACAAGGCCTCCCGCTCCCTCCCCCAGCGCCTCCAGCTCACCCACACCCTCATCGCCTTCCAGTCCCTCGTCGGCTTCCTCCTCAGCGTCGTCTTCCTCGCCGCGGCGCCGAGCTTCGCGGAAAGCTTCGTCCCGCAGGAGGTGCGGCAGGCGAGCTTGACGTACGTCCGCATCACGTCGTTTACCGTGCTGAGCGGCGCCGTGGAAACGGCCGTGGCGTCGGCGACGAGGGCGCTGGATAAGCCCGACGTTCCGCTCGTCATCAGCTCCGTCAAGTTCGCCGTCAACATCATACTCGATCTGCTCATCATCTCCAACTTCCACGTCGGCTCCTTCACACCAACAGTCAACATGCAGGGCATCATCCAGCTGGTCTGCAACTTAACCGCCGCACTCATGGGATTAGCCTACTTCCTCTACTCCGCAAGCTTCTCAACCTGGCGGAAGCAGCATCAACACCTCCCTCTCGATGGCCACAACACCACCACAACGAGCCACTCCCTCTCCCCAAGCGTCCGGGCACTCCGCGTCCTGCTCCCCCCAGGGCTCATCTTCTTCGCCGAATCAGCCATCAGAAACGCCCTCTACCTCTGGCTCGTCACCACCGTCGTCGCCCTGGGCTCCGTCTACGCCACCGCCTGGGGCGTCTTCAACACCATCCGCTGGGGCCTCGTCATGGTCCCCGTCCAAGCCCTCGAAGCGACGTCCCTCCAGTTCATCGGCCACAAATGGGGCCAGTGGCGACAGCTCATCGGCCCAAACAACCGCAGGCCAAAAGCAAGCTGGACGGAACTCTACAGTCTCGTCAGCCCCGCCATACGATCCCTCCTAATCGCTCTTCTCGTCGAGGTTCCCATCGCCATCTTCCTCTCCGTCTTTGGCGCCCGGCCGTTTGCGCTGTACATCAGCGGTTCGAGCGAGGTGGCTGATGTCACGGCGCACATGTGGCGGACCATTGACTGGTGCTACATCTTCTACGCAATGTCGACGCAGCTTGCCACCATATTGCAGGCTACCAGGCCCAAGTGGTATTTGTACCAGAGTCTGGCGAGCAACTTGCTGTATGTTCTGCCGTGGGCGATTGTGTGTCAGGTTGCCCACTTGGACCAAGAAAATGCATGGACGTATCATAGCTTCATCTTTGGGGGCAGCCTGGTGTTTAGTTTTGTCGATGTCCTGATAGTCGTTGGCGTGTGGATGTGGACGTTGCGGACAGGCAAAGCAAGGCTGGAGGTGATTCAGAGTTCGTGAAACTCCGGGTTATGTGATGTACTTTTGAGACGAGGAATCTTTTCCCTGATTGACCGTAACACCTCCTTAGACACTTGGTACTAGGTTCGCATAAAGAGAAGCTTCTATTCGAAAGTGGCCAAGCCCACGAGCGCCATTTTATTAGAAGAAATATTGATGTATGTGAAAGAACCTCAAACAACAGCCGTAACTCTCCTCACACTCTTCCTCGCACCCTCGCCAGACACCATCACCGCATTCTCAGCCTCCAGCGTCCTCATAATCTCATTAAACTCAGCCTGCTCGACAGGCACCGCTGAAGCCTCTGCCAGCCTCCTAGCCACATCGCTCCACCGAACAGCGTTTCCGCCCGCTGTCATCTCGTCCAGGAGTCGCAGCGCCGCATCCTTGAGCTCACTGCGGCGCCTCCGCTCCGCAGCGCTGGTTCCGTCCGTGAGCAGGCTCATGTCGATTCTGCCTTCGGAGTCGGTGGCAGCAGTCTTGAGAGCAGACTGGATGAGGCGGTACGCTTCCTGGACGTCATCTCTGGTGACAGTCTCGGAGAGGCGCATCTTGGCGTGGGCTTCGGCGAGACGGATCATGCTTTCCAGCTGTCGAGTGGTGGCCGTGATGCGCTTCTCTGCGGCACGGACGTCTTGACCCAGGGCTCGCATGGCGACGTAGCTTTCGACAAGCTCCTTGGCTGCCTCGTCCGAGATGACGGGCTGAATATGGGAGCGCGCATAGGAGATGTACAGGGTCAAGAACTCGATGGGGAGGATGTCATTGTTGGTGGGTGCCGACTGAGGCTTGTCCTCCAGGTACATGGAGAGGAGATGCTTGGCCAGCCGACGGTCCGTCTTGTCGTCGACGCGATCGAGGATGAGGTAGATGAGGTCGAAACGGGAGAGCAAGGTGGGAGGAAGGTCGATATTTTGCGGAACGGACAGCTCGGGGTTGTAGCGACTGCCGATGGGGTTGGCAGAGGCGAGGATGCTTGTTCGTGCGTTGAGGGTCGTGATGATGCCGGCTTTAGCAATCGACACGGTTTGTTGCTCCATCACTTCGTGAAGGACAGATCGAGTGGATTCGTTCATCTTGTCAAACTCGTCGATGCAGCAGACACCTCCGTCGGAGAGGACCAGAGCGCCCGATTCGAGAACCAGCTGTCGCGTCTCCGGATCGCGAGTGACATACGCAGTCAGACCGACGGCTGAGGAACCCTTGCCACTGGTGTAGACACCACGCGGTGCGATCTTGTGGATATACGTCAGCATCTGCGATTTGGACGTGGACGGGTCACCGCAGAGAAGAATGTTGATGTCGCCTCTGTACTTTGGGTTGCCGCCCTTTGTAAAGGTCTTGTTGGTTCCACCAAACAGCTGCAACAATATGCCCTTCTTCACGTCGTCCATTTCATAAATCGAAGGAGCCAAGGATCTGGCAAGAAGCTCGTAAATGTCAGGGCGACGTGACGTCTCTCGAATCTTCAGTTCATCCTCGGCCGTGATGCGGCGAGTCTCTTCCATCTCATTGTTGTCTGTCTCCGCTTCTTCTTCACCCTCCACACCAAGCGTAGTTCGGTCGGCTCCGAGGCGCTTCTTGTCCACTTTCTGTACATGCAGGACATCCACATAAGTCTTGTAGATGCTCTTGATGGCTCTTTGGCGAGGGTTCACGCGCACGGGACTGACTCGGAAGATGCCAGTCAACTGGACACGGTCACCGGCCTTGCAAAAGTCTACGAGCTCATTGTAGACGCAGACGGAGACTGAATGGGGCGTCTGGCCAGCGGGGATGCTGTCCGGAGTTTCTTGAAGCTTGATAACTTGTTTGTCTTCGAACGAGCACCTGTTGTGAACGATCTGCATCGAGTTTTTGGAAGCGCACATGGGGCGAGGGCACTCGGTAGGCTCTCGAATCTTGCCTCTGTCCAAGCCAACGTTGACGGAGTGATTGCAGACGTTGCAGCGGAAGAACGCGTCCTTCATGTCTGGAATCACGGGCGTGGTGCGGATAACGAGGCCTTTGATAGAGACAAGGCGATCCATGTCTGATACATGTTAGCTGTTTCTCTCCTGTCCATATGGGACATCGATGTAGCTCACCGGCAGGGTTCAAGTCTCTCAGATTCGTGATTTTGTCAAGGCCAAAGGGACGCACAACGTAGAGTGAAGATGCGACTTGATCCTCCAACGTAGGTTCTTCGTCCCGCGGTCGGGGTGTAGGAGTAATGCCTTCATCAGGCCTGTCGGAGCTGGGGAACACAGGCTCAGAGCCCTGGGTGCTTCTCTGAGAGGCTTGCTGTCCGGCACTGCTCTGTGATGGTCGGTTCCTCATTGTTTCGGCTTGAGCAAGGTCGAGCATCAGATCATGGACAGACTGGTCCATGACCGGGACGACTTCTTGAGGGTAGGCTTGGATCTGGTGCCACAATTTCCGTGTCGGCGGGTATAGGTTCAAATCTGAGATGTCGAGATACAGTCTTGTCGTGCCGAGAAGCAGCATGTTCTGCAGTGCCTCCCAGTATGGCTTGGATTCGGCATCCGGAGCAGCGTTGACCTCTGCATCCGTAAGGCCGTCCCTGTACATGCGGTATTTGAGAGTGAAATGCCGCAAGAAATCCTTGAATGTGGAAAAGGTATCGTCAATGGACACAGTAGTACCCCAGATGAGGGTCTGGCCAGCACCACCCAGCACATCAGCCTCGGAGGTATTAGGGTCTCGGTTCGCGAAAGAGGCAGCATCGGAGCCAGGAGCTTGGCCCTCCCTCAAGACTCGACCAGCTTCGTCTAGGATAACATGCCGAGGAGCACGGGGTGTTCTGACGGTGTCCGAGTTGATGTCTCCACGTCTGTGAGACGTGCCGCGGCTGGACCCAACAAAGAGACCACTGCTTTCACTGCGCAGATCCGAGTGCAGTCTCGGGGTTCGGCCAGGACTAGAGCTGGGTTCGTAACGAATGGGAGAGGATTCTGCACAAAGTTCAACAGTCAGCACATGCCAAGTATATATGCAACGGCTCAAGATGTCCCAAAAGGCCTACCTCCAGCAAGACCACCACTGGCCCGGGGAGTTCGCTGGCCATCACCATTGGTGGACTGCGTATCCGTCATCTGCCTCAGCGGCGAGCTCGGCGCAGGCCCATTGGTAGGCTGCGTGCTCTGGCTATTCGACATCTGCCGCAGCGGCGACGAAACATCCCCCATGACCTCATCGATACCCTGCGTGGGCGCCGGCGACGACTGGTAGAAGATGGGGCTCGAGACCAGCCGCGCAGGAGTGCCCGCCTCGGAATTGCGCGTGGACCGGCGAGGCGTCGCGGACTGCGAGTCCCGCTGTCTTCGATTCGGCGTCGACATCTTGTGAGTAAATCGTCGGCTATAACAACTGAAGCTGCAGAATGAAGCCGGCGACGATCCAGCAAAACGAGCTCGAGATTATGCCAGGGCTGGGGTTGGGCAAAAAAGGCGACCAGGTTTATGGGACGGCAAAAACGAGGGGCATTATGCGATGGAGACTCTCCATTGGAAGGCGGTGGAGACGCGTTTTACTGCCAATTTCCTCCCTCGAGACGCGTAAAGTGCTTTTCCAGGACGCGAAAAGCTCAGGGAGCTAAAGTACCTTGGACTAGACACGCGTTAGAGCGCCGGAAGCCGGCAAAAGATTCCGCCGAACCGCCCAGCTGCCGTTTTGGAGGGGCTCGCCTTTTGGGGGGACACCTTTTCGGAGCTTGCCTGACGGTATCGCTATCACCAACCATCAGTCCGGCCTCTTTCTCTCCAGCTTCAGCACTCCGCCCCCCAAACCGCCCGCCATGTCCCCCGGAATGACCCTCTTCGCCGTCCAGGCAATCCTCATCCTCGGCACCGAAGATGGCTCACGGATATTCGCCAAATACTTTTCTCCGCCGCACGCCGCTCCCACAGGTATGCAACATGTAAACCTGGGGAACCGATAGCATATGCGCCCCCTGATGCTGTTGAGCCATTGCTAATCGCGACTTCGCTTCTTAGGCGGCGCAAGCATACCAAGCCACCCGTACACCGATCTGAAGGCGCAGAAGGCGTTCGAAAAGGGCCTCATTGACAAGACGGCCAAGCAGACGGGCGACATCATCCTCTACGACAACCGGATCGTGCTGTACAAGATGGAGTCCGACGTCATGCTGTACGTCGTTGGCGCTGCCGACGAGAACGAGATTCTGCTCTACAACACCGTGCTGGCTCTGCGTGACTCTCTTCATCTGCTGTTCAAGTCAGTTCTTCCACCTCGCGGCTCCTTACCGGTAGCGGCTGCGCTTGGCTGGAGACAGCCTTTGCTAATCTTCCCAGCGTAGGCAATCCGTGGACAAGAGGACCATTATCGAAAACTACGACCTCGTCTCGCTTGCAATCGACGAGATTGTCGACGACGGCATCATCCTGGAGACGGACCCGACCATCATCGTCCAGCGCGTCAGCCGCGCGCCCACTCAGGATGTTCCCCTGGGACGCATCGACTTTAGCGAACAGGGTGTCAACAACTTGGCACAGCTGGGCAAGTCGAAGCTGTCAGATTGGCTGCGCCAGGGGCTGTAAATCTCAAAAGACCTGGGTTGCTTGTCCGGAGTTGCATGTTTAAAGCGGTCTGTTGCACTAAAAGACTACCCTTGTAGTTGATTGTTACCATTTTCTTTTCTTCTTCTTCCGTCTATTGTTTGAAACAAGATCTCGGTTTATATACAGAGCAGGGGTATAACGAATCTATGCATCTTTCCTCCTTTTTCTCTATATCCGGCATTGTTCTCATGAGCGTATCTCCGAGGCCGCCTTGCGAAGGCGATTCATGACGGCAGCGGCAATGTCCAGCTCATCGTCTATACCATCTACAAAAATCGTGTCTATGTTTCGGCGATCCAACTCTCGCAGTGCCGAGAACAGTCCCTGGGCTATCCTCTTCGTGTCGTGTCCGAGGTCGATGTCGAATAGCTCACCGACGACATCGCCCTGGTTATTCTTGAGATGGCCTTTGAACACCTGATATGCGGGATTCAGGTACTCGTCGTCATGAGCCTCCTGATCAACGGGAGCCCGCTGTAGATCACCGCAGTCAAGCCCTGCTGCCGACTTCCATCGCTGCGTCCGGATCACGCCTATCCTCCGTGGTGGACGGCCGTTGGTCTTCTCCGTGCTGCCGTATCCCGTACCACCCGTAGCCTCAACATCCGACGGCAGAACCCCTTCAGAGCCATCCTTGTAGGTAGACTCGTAGAGCACAACCCTCGCCTTGGGGCTGTAGTGCTTGTACTTCATCCCGGGGGCCCTCGGCGCCGCCTTTCCCAGCTCGCTGTGGTCCTTGTACGCCTTGGCCACGTTTTCCCAGCCGGGACAGCTCCGGAGCTCGTCCATGCTGATGCCTCCCGGCCGGAGCACCACCGGCGGATCGCAAAGGCCATCCACGACGGTGCTTTCGACGCCGACCTGACAGGGGCCCCCGTCGAGAATGAATTCGATCCGCCCATCCAGGTCATCCTTGACGTGCTGCGCCGCTGTGGGTGATGGCTTGGTCGAAGCATTTGCCGAAGGAGCCGCGAGAGGCACGCCAGCCAGCTTGATCAGGCTCAAAGCCAGCGGCGACGACGGCATCCTCGCCCCAAACGTCTCCAACCCCGCCGTCACCTCCGGCGCCAACTTCGAAGGCTGCGGATTAGGCAACAGGATCGTCAACGGGCCCGGCCAAAAGCGCTCTATCAGCGCCCTGTATCTGCTTGGAATGGCATCCCGGTCATCCTTATCTTTGCCCAGCAGCTCGCGCAGCATGCGCAGATCCGAAACGTGCACGATGAGCGGGTTGTCCGACGGCCTCCCCTTGGCGGCGTAGATGCCCTTGACGGCGGCGCTGCGAGTGGCGTCCGCGCCGAGACCGTAGACGGTTTCTGTCGGGAAGGCGATGGGGGTGTTGCTGGTTCGGAGGTAGTGCGCCGCGGACTCGAGGGCGGCGATGGCGTCTGTGGAGGAGGGGAGGATGTGCCATTCTTCAAGCTTTGAGGGGGGTGGTGATGATGAGGAGGAGGTGGAGGATGATGTAGGTGGTGAAGACGGTGGTGAGGGCAGGGAGGCTTCGAATTTGCCGAGGGGAGAGTCCTTGCTGGGGGACACTTTGATGATCTTCGTCTCCATGGTGGCGAGGCTTCGAGACACTGGAACTGGAGAGAGCAGTGAGGAGGGTGAAGTTGCAAGTGCTCGAAGCAAGCCTTGATGATGGAGTCGACGCAGAGAAATGATGGTGACTGTGTGCCGGGTGATGGACTTTATGATGTATTTTAATTTATTAGCCTTGTATGTCTTGGACTGTGAGATGCGTATCGAGACGAGGCTGTTTGCGTCAAGTTATCCGCAGTACTGTAAAGTGATGTATAAGGGAAAAGTTGGATATCATGAGTGAGTCGTAGGTATGTGGTCCAATATGGTGCCGGTCTCGCTGCATGAAAAATATTTGGCGGGCGGAAAATTTAAATTCGGGCGCCTCAACTACGTCAGACAGTGAAGCCGACGCCACTCCGAGGCTGAGCCACTTCCGTGTAAGTGCGCTGTAGTAATAATTGATGCCAACATGGAACTCTCACCAACTCAAATACGTTCGTATATCAACTCCCAGAGCTCAGCTCCATCTTTTCATTCTTCTATTTCAGCGGCTTCGAACAATTCTATGCTTTTGTCTTGCTCAACGCACTCATTCGATCTATACATGCCCATATCAACAACACCCAAAGATGCCACTACATATTCCAGTCTGCCTAACTTCAGCAGCAGGCAGCAAACTAAATGACAAGGCTTCAATGATGGCTTGGAAATGAAATGATCCATGCAAACGCTGTGCCATACCGTTGCCATCTCAATCTTTCTCTTCACCCTCTTACCAAACTCCGCGCTCTTCGCTTTTCATCCTCTGTCAGCACCCAGTCAATCCCATCCTCTCCGTTCTGGGCGCAAATCTCCTCCCACTCGTCATCCTCCATATTCGCAACCATGAGCAGCTGCGTGACCCTGCTAAACAACTCCTTCACGCTGTAGTTGCCCCGAGAGACCACGTCCACGATGGCGGTAAAGTCCCTCTCCATGCGGATCGCGCCATACGCGCTCGTTCGTCCACCGTAGCCGAGGATCCTCTTCTCCAGAATCCGAGACAGGTAGCGCGCAGTCATGTCCATGAGGCTGCTGAACGTGCCCGGCGTCATGATCCGGCCAATCGCCTTCATGAGCTGATCCCAGCCGTGTTCGAAGCGCCGCGCTACCTGGTCGAGGAGTTCTCCCTCGCCCGCATCAGTTTCCTGTGCTATCTCTGCAATCTCCTCCTCTGTGAGTGTATAGTCTGCGTCGCGGAATGTGTCGCTGAGGACCGGCCGCAGACGTAGTTTGACGACCTGGTTGAACAAGACCTGGATCGCTTCATTCAGCAATTCAGTCGTCTTGCCAAGGAAAGCCGTCTCCAGTGAGCGCAGGGCGCCCATGACGGCCACCGCGTCGCGCTCAAACGGAAACGATTGTTTCAGCTGGGACTCAATCTCTTCTTTCTGCTGGGTTGGTCCATCCGGAGCGCCAATGCGGCTATGGATGATCCTGGTCAGATACTCATTGGCCATGTCCAGGCTATTGATGAGAACGATGAACTGTATAATCTTGTCCTCTGGCGGGAACCCCCCTTGTATAGCTGCCTTGGGGTAGGACTCGTCGCGCATCTTGCGCTGAATCATGCCCACAAAGTCACCGGTAAGAACCCGACTAACAGATGGAACGACTGAAGACACAACATCCTTCTGCGAGGTAGACAGACACCTCTGAAGTACGGCATTGACAATGTACATGACATCGTCAACCGCGAGTATTATGTAGGGCGTGTTGCCTTCGATGGGTTTGTTCAGACTCAAGGACAAGCCGCTAGGGTACTCATCCAACTGGAACGCCTTTTCAACGGATCGACGGAAGAAGAATGTCGACATGATGTTGTAAGGCGATATGAGTTTGGACGACACCTTGCCATATAACTTTGACTTGATCAATAAATCCGCCAGCCTCAAGGGCGCATCCTGAACTGCTGGGTCCTGTGGACGAAAAAAACACATCGTTAGAGAGAATCTTCTTCAAGTGTAGCAATCAAATCACGCAGCAGCTACACTAACCATGGACTTGACTGAAATAAATCGAGTGTAGAATGACCACTGCGCAAGCATGACAGAAATCTCATGCAGCAGCCCATCAACCTCCTTCATGTTGACGCCCTCGTCTTCACTGTTTCTGGGGTTGTTGCCCATACCCGCCGCGGGTGAGTTCATCCTAGGGATACCTCCCCGGGGAGGCTGCGGCAGAAAGCTCTGCACCAAGAACGAGAAAGGATAGCTCTTCACGTCCGTCAGCTTCTTGTCGACCCCTCGCTCGTCGCTCCACGTGTCGAGAATGATGCCGCCCTGGACGTCCGCCTCCATCTGGATGCGCTCAATAACGCGGACCATCTTGCCGGCGCCGTAGTGCCGCTCGACGAGCCCGCCATGGCCCTCGACGATCTGAGCAATGTGCTGGAAGAGCCTCGTCAGCGAGTTGGCGTAGATGATGCCCTCTTTGCGGTTCTGGCCCGCCATGCCGTCCTTGAGCGTGGCCCTCGCCGTGCCCGCCACCCCCTGGCACACGTATTTGCCATAGACGTCCAATCCCACATCCGCCCGTCCAATGAGAGGAAACAGCTTGAAGAACCGGGTCACCTTAGCACCGTCGCCCTCCGCTGCCGCCTTGTCGAACTCGCGCAGGAACAGCCCGCACAAGCTCTCCCTTGCATTCTCCAGCGTGATCCAGGGCGCATCGACGCTGGGCACAATGTCGGCCGCAAAGGCGCCCCGGGCAATGGCCTCGGGGATCCTGCTCGCCCGCGCCAGGTAGCCCGCCGCCGCCTCCCAGTCCTGCGGCGCGCCCATGGAGCCCACGACGCCGTTGACGCACGCCTTGAGCTCGGCCACCTGCTCCACGACGCCCAGCGTGGCCTCGACCCGGCTCTTCTCCAGGTCCAGCTCCTTGACCCTGTTGCTGAGCCGCCCTGCCGTGTCCGCCGCCGTCGAGAGCATGTCGTTGCTGATGGTCCGCACCGCAATCACCTGCGCGCCCAGGCCCGCCCGCAGCAGATCCAGCCTGCCCAGGTCCCGCGAGAGGTCATTCTGCGACTCGAGAAGCGCGTCGAGCCTCGCTTTTATCGTCGACTCGCGCTCGTGCAGGGCGGCGAGCGTTGCGCGCAGCTCGGCCTCGTTGGTGGCATTTTGGAGGGCTGGCGATGCGGCCGCTGCTGCTGCTGTTACAGCTCGGCTGCTGCTGCTGCTGCCGCGGAGCACGCCGTTGGGGGCTGACATTGGCGCTGAGCACGAGTATCGAGGAGGCGCATAGCTGCCCCTGGCAACGTCGTCGAGGCGGATTCGTGTGAAGTCGGGAGTTTGTATGCGGGAGGTTGCAGCTTGGTGGTGGTTGTCTGGAGACAGATAGGCCGAGTTACATGCTAGTATGGAGCTGTTCTATATGGGGTCACTTGGTGGCGGAGGGGCTGCACGCTGCCAATTTGACTCCAGCTTGTCGTTGAGCTCACTTAAGGGACAGTCCGATTAGCAGGCAAATGGATATCTAACCAATTGCAGCATGGAGAAATGAAGAAAAGACAAAAGATGGACTTTTTGTTCCCAGACAATTGGGCCATCTACCTCCAAATAATGCGGCTTTAAGCTGCCTTGCTGGTGGGTTGTAAGCTCCCATTGTATGCCAGGTGTTTAACAAACAAGCCGATAGGGTTACCCAAAATTGCGTCTTTCAGAGCAGATCTCATCGATCTTCAACTTCATAATATTAGAGGACCAAATGTCCAATCTTTTTTATACAAAAGCGCATATCGATACCAGCTAGAATATGTAAAGGCATACAGGCAGGGGATCTACTCTATTCCCCGGCCCCAGACATATTCGTGTGTGTATTACAAAGTCGCCTCATGCCATATATCACAGCCTCCTGAAGCCTAATCCATCCCTTTTTTGCCGCTTCTCTCCTCTTTTTCCATAACCCGCTCCTTTTAAACCGCCTGGCTGTAACCGCCGCCCAAACGCCGCTGCCCATACTTGAGATACTTTCGTAATTCATCCGCCAAAAACACCGTGCTGCAAAGCAGGACCAGCCGTACTAAATCGCCCAGCCCAAGGGCTTCCGTCTGGAAGACCTCTTGTAGCCATGGGAGATAGATGACGAGCAGCTGACCAACGATTGACAGAGAGACTGCCCAGTTAAACAAGTTATTCGAAAATAGTCCCACCTCGCCGCGCAACACCGATTTTGATTCGGAGCGGCAGCTGAGAGCGTTGAACATGTCAAAGAAAACGAAGCAGGTAAAAGTCATGGTGGTATCCCGACGGGTGACGATGCCGTCAGCCATTTGCTGCCGGTACGTGATCATAGTGCCCACCATGATGATAGCCGCCGAGGTGAGAACCCTCTGTATGAGCTTCGTCGTCAGAACCGGGTCGTTGCGCTTCCTCGGGGGCCTATTCATCACGTCTGGGTCGACCGTCTCGACACCGAGAGATTGCGCAGGAGGGCCGTCCATGATGATGTCTGGTTTTGTCAGCTGAAAAGTCTCTCATGACAGAATGGAACTCATCGAAAGAGAGACTTACTAATCCAGAGAATCTGCATGGCATTCAAGGGACTCTTGAACCCGAAGCATGTGCAGACAAAGACAAGGGCCAAGCTCGCTGCACTCGTGCTGAGCTGGAAGGTGAGGAAGTTCTGAATGTTGTTGAAGATGCCCTTTCCTTCCTCGATAGCCCGCAAGATGGTTGAGAAGTCATCGTCAGTCAGAATCATGTCCGCTGCCTCCTTGGCCACATCAGTTCCATGACGTCCCATTGCAATGCCAATATCAGCCTTTTTCAAAGCCGGTGCATCGTTTACGCCATCGCCAGTCATGGCTACAATGTCTCCTCGGGACTGAAGCGCGCGGATAATCTTCATCTTGTGGTCGGGGTTGGTTCTCGCGAAGATGGTCGTATGCTGCATCGCCTGGGCGAGGGCCTCGTCAGACATGCTGTCAATTTCGTCCCCTCTAAGGACGGCTTTAACCGCGTTCTGACCCGGCAAATGAGCGCTGGGAACGGCAACACTCATCCCTAGCTGTTTACCAATCGCAAGCGCCGTGGTCTCGGCATCACCAGTGATCATAATAACGCGCACACCGCCACGCATCAATCGTCGGATAGAGCGCTCCACGCCAGGTCTCGGAGGGTCTCTCATACCGACCAGGCCGGCAAAGGTGAGGCCCTTGTAAGCATCCTCGGAGCCTTGAGGGATGACCGGAGTGGAGGCTCCAGTTGCGGGCGTGTTGCTTCGCGTGTCAGCTGCCGATGTGCGTGTTCTCGAAGGTCTGGCCACTTGTCCACTGGCAAAAGCAAGCACACGGAGTCCCTTGGAAGCCATGGCATCGGCCGCTGCCAAAGCCTCCTGGCGTCGTGTATTGTCCAATACGATTTCTCGGCCATCCTGTTCCAAATACGTGTCGCAAGCGGCCAGAACCTTTTCAATCGATCCCTTCATATACGCATGCTCCTTTTCGCTTCCAACGGTAACTCCCATCCACTTTCTCTCGGAGCTAAAGGGCACCTCTGTGACCCGAGGGCCCATGGAGTCGCGTATGTCGTGTTCTTTGAATTTGTCGAGCAGATCAAGCATGGCCACATCGGTTGGTTGGCCGACCCAGCGCGTATAAGTCGATGCCTCCTCGCGCCCCAGTGTTGAAGATAATACGGCACTTGTGGCAGCGCCGCTCTCCGTGAAACTCTTTGACAGTCGAGCATTGTTTGCGATGTTTCCAATTCGTAGGATATGTAAAGCCGCTTGGGTTGGTTTGAGGTCCTCAACCTCGGCATCTGAAGCGATGTTTAACGAACCGTCTTCACCAAAGCACCACATCTCCACAGTTGTCATATGGTTTGTCGTGAGCGTGCCTATTTACAGCAAGTTTAGCATCAGTGCGACCATGGCTGGCGAGTGGTTTAAGAAGGGAGACTTACCGGTCTTGTCGGTACAGACAACATTGACGGAGCCAAGGGTTTCCACCTTGGGCATCCAGCGCACGATAGCGTGATGCTTAGCCATCCGGTGAACACCAAGAGCCAGGGTGACGGTGACAATGATGGGCAATCCCTCGGGAATGGCTGCTACGGCCAAGGATATAGAAATGGTAAAGATTTCCAGCAGTTTCTTCCCTTGCAACCAGCCAACAAGTGATATCAGTCCAATGACCACAAATGATGCCTTGCTCAGCTGCGAACCGAGGTCGTCCATTGACAGCTGTAAAGGAGACCTTGGGTTCTCTGTCCCAGAAACACTGGACGCAATCGAGCCGAAGTGAGTCTTCCCACCAGTAGCAAAGACAATTCCCTGGCCGTGACCAGATTTCACCAGCGTGCCCATGTAAGCAATGTTTCTAGCGTTGCTGCTATCAGACGACTCAGCATTGCCCATGGGGGCTGCCGGAGAGAGGGAAGCTGGCCTTGGAAATTGGTTGAAGGCCTGCGCATTAAAATCGTGAGGTTCCGCTTCGGTCGATATCCGGACGGGCTTCGTTTCGCCAGTGAGGTTGGAGACGTCAATGGTCAAATCAGCTGCCTTGGTAACCCGAATATCCGCAGGGATACGGTCGCCGGTGGTAAACAAGACCAAGTCTCCGGGGACGAGCTGCGAAGCTGAAACTTTGAAAGACGTGCCGTCCAAGATATCTTCGATTGGAGTAATTGCGCCAGAGCTATCAGCCGCATCCAGGGGGTCGCTGATGCTCGGGGGCCATGCGGGAGCTTTCTGTGGGTTGGACTTGCTCGGCGAGCCCCGTACCAGGTGTGCGTGATTCGGGACCAAGTGGTTGAGGGCCTCGATTGACTTTTCGGATCGATACTCCTGAACAAAGCCAACAGAGACGACAATGGTTACCGCCACAGTGATGCTAATAGCATCATCCATGTTGCCCAAGAGCAGGGACGTCCCTGCGGACACCAGCAGAAGTACAATCAGCGGCTCTTGGAATTGCTTGAGAAACCGCAGCCAGAGCGGCTCCGGGGCTTCGTGGGGGATCTCGTTGGGTCCGTATTCGCCAAGTCGTTTCAGTGCTTCGTTGGGCGTGAGGCCGTATGTAAGCGACGTTCGTAGCTGCGCGGCAGCCTCGCTGGGGGTCATGAAGGAATACTCTCTGGCCACTCCCTGCCATCAAACTCGGCGTTAGCAATCTGCGCCCTGCGTCAATGGCATCTCCAGCCTTACCCGCGCATGCGCCGATGATGTCCGGGCATGTCCAGGCCTGGACTCTGATCTCCCCTGTCGTGATGAATCGGCCGCGTCTTCGGTGATGATGGGCACGCTGGTCATTGGCAGCAGAGACTCGCTGCCAGAGTCGCGGCCCGCCCATGGCAGCTGCATGTTGCAGACTCGGGGCTGCGTCGAGAATGTTGGAAAGGGGGCCCGAACAATCAATCAACCTCCAAACGCTGATGTCAAAGGCTGGGTCTCATGGGGGAGGCAGAGTTGAATGCGCAGCGGTCCAGAACGGTGGCGCATGCGTCGTCGGTAGCGGGAGAGGGGCACTGCGTGGATCGAGGTCGTCTTTTCTCTTGCAGCTGGCTCTGAACGGCTGCTTGTACGATCCTCATCCCCCTAATGACACGGAAGAGGCCAGCGTGCAGACCGGTGAAGCATCAGCAGCCGGACGTGATCGTGGAAATTGCATGGATGGATGGAAAGGTGGTCTTCCAGCGCAATGGGTGCCCAGATGCGCTAGCCTCGCCACTCTGCACTGGGGGGCAGGGAGCGCTACAGGGGGCTGCAGGTACTGGCGGCGCCTCAAAGTAACCTACGCTCTGGCGAGGCTTAGCGGCAGTTCGGCTACCTAGCGATGGACATGGAAGCTGGAGCTGTGAGGAGGGGGCTGATTTTCTTACGAGCATCCATGAGCTTGAGACGTACAAGTATGAAAGGCTCTCTAAATGTTTGTCCTAGATGGCAGTATAGAACGATTTGATACACTGGGTGTCTGACTGGCATGATGATGCTGATGAACAGACATCGCATGTGAAATGACATAAGACGGCAACGCCTGGTGACGAAGAGGTTCTTGAGAAGATGGTGCTTGTACTAAGAAGCTCAGTCGCGGGTGTAGCAGTCTTGCGAGAGGCAAGGCAGGGTAGCACTGGATGGAGAGCTGAATCGTTGATGACTGTCTTGGCACAGACCGACAAGTGATACAAGGACGAGTCCATTATCGAGATGGAAACCTCTGGGAGTCCTGGTTCCAATATGGAAACGTCAATGCTGGTGTACTGGTATGAGCTTGAGCCCCTTCAGACCACGCCGTACAGAAGCCAGGTCAACCGGTTGAAGCCATTGGAGGTGAAATAGTCATCAAAGACATCACAATCGTTCACCAACCTGGCAAATCTAGAGCAACAGGCTCCAGAGCTTCGGTACGGCTCGCGGATGATATTGCACCAGATGGGATCTGGTTGAAAGAGCTGCATGTACTCGGTACCTCGTACTGAACGACCGCCAGGCACCCAAAGCCCGACTTCCGGCCGCCACCAGCCTCAAAGCTTCCCTCCGGAACTGGTGATTCCCCGCTTCCGGCACCGCAAAGTAAGCCGCGATTGGCCGCCAGGGAAGGCTGAAGTACCTCGTACCTCATGCCACCAGCCACTTTTCCTCCCAGCCACGCAATTTACGGCAAGGCAAAGCTTGGGGACCGCAGCATCTCCCCTCGCTCCGGACCTGAGACTTTCACACAACTGCGTCTGCTCGCCATTTTTACCCTTTCCATCGCCGCACCCCGTCGCCTCGCCCTGCGCCGCCGAATCTCGCGCCTTTTCGCAGAACCGCCCTGGGCGACTCGATATTTCTTGACTGGATGCGCTTGCGCGGCTGCTGTTGCGCGTGAGCCAGGCCCGAACACGGTTTAGGCGATTGTTTATCCACCAAAACGCGCAGCCCTTGTTGCCGTGTTTACTTGTGCTCACCTCCACCCGAGGCTGCAAACTCGTGTCCCTGCACCGGTTCCCACTGGCTGAGCAATTTTGCATACTCTCGGCCTGTTCTCATATCCGCATTCACACTCACACCCATACCCGACATCTCGTACCTTGCTTGACTCGCCGTCGCCACATCGACCCGTGCGCCAGCTTCGCGCGCCGCCATGTTCTACTCGGAGACGCTCCTCCAGAAGACCGGGCCGCTGGCCCGTGTCTGGCTGTCGGCCAACCTCGAGCGTAAGCTCTCCAAGAATCACATCCTGCAGTCCAATGTCACGGACAGCGTCGAGGCCATCATCACGCCGAACCAGGCGCCCATGGCCCTGCGTCTCAGCGGCCAGCTTCTGCTTGGTGTGGTCCGGATATACCAGCGCAAGACGCGATATTTGCTTGACGATTGTAACGAGGCCATGATGAAGATCAAAATGGTTGGTAGCCTCCTTGCATTGTTTTTTACAGCTCCTCGACGTCCCTGCGTTCCATACTGACGTTTGTTGCTAGGCCTTTCGATCTAGTGGTAACAACGATCTGGCTGCCAATCTGCAAGTCACCAACCGCGAGGCTCTGCTCCTGCCCGATCGCATCACTCCATACGACAACCTCGAGCTCCCTCCACCCCCGGATGCTTCGTGGCTGCTGTCGCAGGTTGACGATGTGTCGTCCACGCAGGTCGGTAGGAAGGGCCGCGTGAGCAACACTCGAGACATCAACCTGCAGGAAGATTTCGACAACAGCCAGTATCTCCAGAGCGGCATGACGCTGGATGAGGACGCGCTCGCGCCCATGGACGACCTTGAGCTCGAGCTGGACTTTGGCATCGACATGGACGGCGGCCCGAATCACAGCATTGAAATGGGCCGAGACGCCCCGGCAGCTCGATCAGTAGAAGATGACGTCTTCAGCGAGCTGGACATCATGCCCCGTTCCAAGGAGGGTGCTGGGCCTGACGACACCACCATGGCCCTGGACGGCGGCGTGAGAATCGCAGACGACGAGGGCGACATCCAGATGGGTGACGACGATTTCCAGTTCAACCCTGACGATCAGTCTGCTGTGCCTGGACTGGCTGCCCTCGACATCAACCGAGAGAGGATTTCGGAGTCTCCCCTGTCAGACATTGATGATCAGTTTGCCAAGGAAATCGAGGAGGAGTATTCCCGCCACGGCCACACAGATCTCTACGAGCCCCAGGAAGACGCGGAAGACTCCCCCGTCAAGCGACCCGCACAGCGCCCCAGAAAGCAGCGCCTCATGATGCCAGACGATGAAATCGTGCTGTCCAGTACTCACATCAAGCAGCAGCAGGCCCACAGGGAGAACATCACCAAGCCGACTACGTTCCTCCCGCGCGATCCTCTGCTGCTCGCTCTTGTGGAAATGCAGAAGAACGGCGGCTTCGTGTCATCCGTCATGATGGACGGCAGGAGCCAGGGATGGGCACCCGAGCTTCGCGGCATGCTGTCGTTGGACGTGGTGCGTGGCGCCAACGATCTGAAGCGCAAGCGCGATAGCGGTGTCGCCGATGTGGAGAGCGAAGCGGGTGGAATCAAGTCGCCTCGTCTCGAGCTGGGAGACGACACCGATTTCACCATTGATGGAAACGCCTTTGGCAACCAGAGCGTGAACGCCGATGGAACCATTGTGGAGATTCCCGCGGACCAGAGCGCAGTGCACTTTGACGATGATCATGCGGACGGAGAGGGCAGCACTCTGATGCCCGCGTTCGAAGACACGACGATGCCGCTCGTCCACCCCGCCGACAGCGGCCCTGTCTCTGTTGGCACCAGACACGCTGTGCATATTCTGCGAGACCTGTTTGGCTCCGAGGCCGCCCATGATGCAGACAAGAGGAAGAAGTCGGCGGTCGTCTTCCAAAACCTGCTGCCTGAGAAGGAAACCACCAAAGCCGAAGCGACCAAGATGTTTTTCGAGTGCCTGGTGCTCGCAACCAAGGACGCCATCAAGGTCGAGCAGGGCTCAGGTCTCGGCGACCCCATCAAAATTCGAGGCAAGCGCGGCCTCTGGGGTGCCTGGGCTGAGCGAGAAGCCGGCGGCGAAATTTCGAACCAAGACGAACCCGAGTCTGTTGCTCCCGCGAGTGTTGCGGCGGTTTCTGTCGAAGCATAACCGTCTGCTAAACAGTCACGACCACCAGAGGAAGAAATGACGAAACTTTGCATGTAAAAACTACATTGCTGTGCATCTTGGGCTACGGGATTTGCTTTGTTCGATTCGCCCATGGCGGAGTTGAAGGCGTTTGGGAGATACCATGTTAATGCGACCTTGGGGGTTCTCTGATCTGGATAAAGGGGGGAGGGAAAAAATGATGATTCGAGCCTTGGATGTGGATTCAGGACAAGCCTTTTTCTTCTTCTCTTCTTTCTATTGACTCTTTTTGTCCTGCTCTCCTTTTTTTGTTACTTGTGGCCTGTACGTTGCTTAGGTATCAGCTGTTTAGAAGGGATGTCCGGGGTTTGACTGCTATTCGACAGACTTGGCAATACAATGTGCTTTGAACGCTGTTGATTACGATTTGATGGCTCTCTGTTCCCGGATTGCTCCGTTGTGTGTTGAGGTCATGTGTATGGCTGTACCAGTATTGTTGGTGGAGCTCAGAAGGTGAACTCTGAGGGCGAGATGTGTACGAATACGTAGTCAACTCAGCAAGGGTTCAATAAACTGGAAGCTTCCAAGATGCAGCAAAAGAGTCGCGTATCTGCTGCAGCTGCTCTGCCCCGCCACGGCTCTCGAACCCCACGCGGAACCAATCCCGTCTCCTTACTACCAGAACACTACCAGTACCTAGTCCATTCCCCATAGACAGGCAACCCAGATTCACTCCCGAACAAACAACTACCTTACCTACGAACCATTTCCCTTTACAACAAACTATTAAAGACACGCTCAGTTCGTCTTTCTTCGCCCAAACCTCGATACCGTCCAACCCATTGAGCAAATAAACGAAAGAAAATACAAAGACCGAAAAACCCAGCAGCAATGCCTCCCCCATCACCCCTCGTCATCGCAACAGGCGCAGTAAACCGCCTCCTCAAGGAAGAAGCCTCCTACCACAAGGAGCTCTCCGAGCAAGAAGCCAAGGTCAAGGCGCAAGAGGAAAAGATTCAGAGCGGCCAGGACGACGAGGATGGCAATGCGACGTATATCCTCAAGCAGCACGTATGTTTCTGTTTCCCCCCCTTCCACCTTTTCTTTTGTCTTCTGATGGGGGGGTTTTTTTTGGGTTCTGTTGTTTGTGAAGAGGACATGGGCTGACGCTTTTTGGTGGGTGTGTGTGTCTTTTAGCAAACCGTTGTCGAGCAGACGAGAGCCGTCTTCAAGCCGCTGAGGGTCCGCATCGCTCAGGCCGTCGAGAAGCTCGAGGATCTGGTCGCTGCCGAGGAAAAGGGCGGGAGTGCTTCCGAGGAAGAGCTTGCGAATGCAAAGGCGGCGCTGGAAAAGGCCAAGGCTGAGCAGGCTTCGGCATGAACGAACGAAATGATTAGAAGCGAGGATGAGGAGGACATAAAGAGTTGCGGATTTCAATAATACCTACATTATGACACACAGCGACGGGCTTACAGCAATCACCTCGTTAGATACCATACTGGCAAAGCAACGTCATCTCGAGTCTCAGGGAAGAGATTGATTCGGGTATCCTGTATGTATAAAGACTCGACCCATTGTCGGGCAAGAAAGGCAATGCCATGCAAACTGTCTAAACTAATTATCAACCTCCATCTTCTCACCATTCCCCGCCCCCGACTTATCTTCCCCATCCTCCTCTTCACCCTCTTCATGTCGCGTATCCTCCATATCAACATCCTCGCCCGTCTCACTCCCCGACCCTTCCCGCAGTCGCGTCCGCGACGGCTCCCTCGTCGAAGCCCTACTGGCTGCTCTGGAACCTGTTCCTTCAGCAGATAGCTGCTGCAGCCGATCTGGTCGCGGCGAGCTCACCGACGGCGTCGGCGCATCCACAGATATTGTCGGCTGGGGCGTCTCGTTCGATGTACCGTCGCCGTCTGGGCGCGGTGTCCCGGTTGCGCTGGGCTCGCCGCCGCGCTGTTCCTCTGCTTCGTCCTCTCCGCCCTCGTTCATTCCTTCTCTCCTGTCTACCTCTTCCTTCTCGTCTCTGATCTGCCGCCTCAGCAACATGCCCTCCTCCATGATCCTGTTGAACTGGTCTCTCCGCTCCTTCCACGTTCCGCTGTATGTTTCGCTTTCGCGCTCCAGCTCCTTGCACTCCTCCTCCAGCTTCTCCAGAGCAGCAAACTGGTCTTCGCGCGGCCGCAGCAGCCGATTCGAGAGGATCTTCTCCGCCAGCTCGTCAAACTTCTTGCGCCGCGCCAGAGTCGCCTTGGCATCTTCCAGCTGCTCTCGCAGCCGAGCGTTGTTCTCGCGCGCGGCCTGGCATTCTGCGAGGATGCGTTGTTTGTCCGCCTCGTAGCGTTGTCGCTCTCGTACGTTTGCGTCGTGGAGGAACTGGAAGCGGGCGATGCTGCTGTCAAAGGCGGCGAAGTCGAATGTGAGGTCTTCTTGCAGCTGGGCGCTGCTTGTGGTCTGGCCGTTTTGCGCGGCGGGGTCGGATTGGATGGCGCTGGAGACAATCGCGGAGATGGACGACAGCCGCTTGGTGATGCGTTTGAAGGGCTTTTCCTCCACGTTGAGCAGCCGGCTCTTGTGAAGCTCGGATTCGCCCTTTTCGTCGAGCAGCTCCCAGGATGCCATTGCTATGAAGGGGTAGGATGGGGCTTGGATTGAGCGTCAAGAACTCGTAGACTCTAATATCCAACCAAGTTGCAATCAATTAAGAGCCAGTTGGCCTAGAAGTTCGGGAGAGGGACTTTGAAAAATGGTTTGTAGTTTGACTGTGCAGTTCGTTCGTTGATGATGAATGGCTGGCTTGCTTCAGCCTCGCACCGCAAAAGACGTGGGCGCGTTGATGACTAATCTCACACACACACTCCAAGGCTAGCTCCTGTCAAGCTCGCCACGGCTCGGCAGCCTTGCATTTCCTCTCCCCAACATAATTTCCATCTATTTTCCACCGCTCCAAACCACAACCTCCATTCCGAATCTATTTATTGCACTGCATCACGTACTCTCATCGCGACGAAACAGAGTCGTTTTTCGAAATGACGGACGAAGAGAAGGAGCTTTTGGCGCGCATCGGCCAACTCGCTGGTAAGACGTCAGCTGTCCGGCGATGACTTCATAGCAGCTCACCATATTGACTACCTTAATCTAGGCCAAATCAACCGACACAAGAACCAGCAGGCCGGCTACCAAACAGTCCCATCACCACACCACCCAAGCCGCCATCGAGGTTTGCATCACTTGCGAGCGATTGGATGATACCCAGACTGACGTAAACCCAAGGAAATGTCTACCGTCAAGCAAGCGCGCCTTATCCCAGCAGGGGGTTCAGCAGCCGGCCAGCTGCCGCTCACCGTCACAGGACTCTGCACCTCAACGCCTCGGCATCCGCCTCCGGGTCCGCGTCGAGTTCGGCGGCGCCCAGTCCTGGTCCCACGGGCTCCGGCTGGGTATCCAAGAACGATCGCCACCGCCAGCTCATCAACGCCAGCATATACGAAAAGGACAGCCAGAACCGGGCCAAGGCCATAGAAGAGACTCGGCAGCGGAAACTCAAGGAGCAGCGCCTTCGGGAGAAGAAGCGGTTTGGCGAATATCTCCGCCATCAAGCCGGCGCTGCTGGATTTCCGAGCACGAGCACGAGCGCTAACTCGACAGGGACGAACGAGATATCGGTCAACGGTATTCGTTTCCGCGTTTTGGAGGGAGGAAAGAAGCTGGTCAAAGCGCCTGGTACGCCTACGTCAACTCCCATTTGAACTTGTTCTTTTTGCCCCAATTTTAACAGCCAACAACAGACGATCCAGCCTCTCCTGCCATGACGCCCAAGTCGACAGTCATTGCCGGGGTCAAGTTCCATCGTACCAAGACTGGAAACCTTGTGGCGCAGAGGATAGTCAAAGACCAACGGTATGTACACTCCCCGTGGGTGAGGACAGTACTAACGTCAGCAGTCGATCTGGCGCGGTTAAGAAGCTCGATCAGCGGTGCAAGATATTCTCAACGACCGGTAATTGTTACTTTCTACTCTCACACACCTGCGGCGACGGAATATCCCTGCAGCTCTCTCCAGATAAGTGGCATGGAGGTAGGGACACTAACCACTCGACTGTTTTCTGTTTAGGATCCTGCCCGAAAGGCCCTGCCTGCCGCTACATACACGATCCCAACAAGGTGGCCCTCTGCAAAGACTTCATGAAAGACGGCAAGTGTCCCAACGGCGAGGCATGCGACCTCTCCCATGAGCTTACCCCAGAACGTGTCCCGAACTGCCTGCATTTTGCCAAGGGGCAATGCTCCCGGCCTGACTGTCCCTTTACCCACTCCAAAGCGCCTCCAACCGCCCCCGTGTGCGAGGCATTTGGGTTCTGCGGTTACTGTGACAAGGGTGCGGACTGCACCAATCGCCACGTCTTTGAATGCCCTGACTTTAGCAACACCGGAACCTGTAAGAACAGACGCTGCAAGCTACTCCATCGCGAGAGGGCAAGCGTCCTCCGAAACCAGGCCAAACAGCGCGACGAGGCCGAAGGCGAGGATGTGTCTAGCGAAGATGAATCAGTGGATTCAGACGACGTCGATTCGGACGAGGTGGCTGAGTTCCTCGAGGCCGACTCTGACGACTCCGACTTTGAGAATCCCAAGGATTTCCTTCCTCTCTAGTCGAGTCAAAGAGTGTGATCAGCAGACTCGGCAGCCACTGCGTGTAGCTGACGGAGCCGACATGTTTTCGGCTTGCAGTCCCACCTGGATGAGCTTTTGAGAGATGCTTTTTATTGTTTTATTGAGCATGTGATGGCCTCTTTTCCTCTCGACGACAATAGCGAGGCATCACGACGTCGATGATACTCATATCCTTCTTTGTTTTAGTCTTATCACCAGGGGAAGGGTTTTTGTGCCAAAGATACCCTGTCTGCTACTGAGCATTCTGATATCGATTCTGGGACGCAACAAGGAGAAGAAAAAAAAGCAAGAGCGAGAAAGAGTAGAAGAGAGAAAGAAAGAAACTTGTTAGGAAACAGCATGTGTTGGTAATGGAAAGAAATGAATAAATAAAGAGCAGCTTCTGAAGCGTTATGATGATGACGATGATGATTTGTGTGAATCTGCCGCTTGTCGTGTTCTTTCGAATCATGACTCCTAAAGGAGCGTCCATTTCCCCCCCCAATCGACACATGTAATAGAGTAGCCCCATCTACCGCACGTTTCAGCGAACAAGGGCCCTGCTAGAGAGATCACTGATCGGCGCTTATAGCAGCCCAGCCTTGCCAGCCCCTAATAAAACGGGCCGCAAATGAACCTTGAATCCCTGACACTGTATTGGAGATCGGAACTGCTCTGTGCTGCTCCATTCATATGTAGATTCTACTCTAATGAAGGCAGACGATGATTCCTCTTGTCTGTACTACAACTACAATAAACCTTGTCGAATGGAGACCAAAAAAAATAAGAAATACGGAATACGGGCAATTCATCTGCCAAGCCGACAAAGGGGGGCCTAAACATCTCTCTCACATGCCATGCCGCTCTCATTCTCTCTCTAATAACCTGGAATCATTTCAAAATGTAATTCTAATCCAAGCAAATTCCTGGAGCCCGGTATATTACTTAGACCCAAGGTTTCATAGAAAGGGATAACCGCGCCCTTTTTAGTTTTCGACATGCCTTTTTTTTTTTTTTTTTTTTTTCCTGCTTGGTATCAAGTGCTGACGTTGTCGTGTCCCGGGACACTTGTTGTTTTGGGTTCTTCGTTGGATTCATACTGTTTGGCGCCCGGGAATTCGATCACCGAAACCAGGGGCAAAACCCGGCTCTTTTCTTATTTTAACCTTGGGACATCTTCTTACTCATCTGATCAATATCACACTCGCTCCCTCTTGGTTTGTCTTTTCCTTCAACACATCTGAGACGAGAGCCTCATCCTCTACAACGCAACACCAACGCGCAGCACACAAGACACGCAACGGCACTTGCACCGCCTCATCACATCACGATTTTCCAACGCTCTAAAGGATTTAAAAGCCTCGCCTGGCTACAGTTACCACAAAGTCAAAGCCGCAAACAACACGAAGCTTTTCTGGCTTGCTCAGCCTCGTTTCCCGCTCCTCATTACAGCCCACTTATCTCGGTGCTGATTTGCCTTTCAAACGTTAGAGAGGGGTGACGAAGAGCTTTGGAAGAAATCTATTTTGGGAAACGGCATTGTCATCGCTTTAGGGGCTTCTTATACGGAGTATCATTCTTTCATTCGGGCGGGATTGTCAGTTCTTTTCACTTACAGCGTGTTTCTTCACAACATCGCTCACGGTTATACATACATACATATTACCTTTATAGAGGGACGGGGTTGGTTTAAGCTTCTCGCTTTTTGCCCCTTTTCTGTTGGTTCGGACCACAAAAGGAACAACGAGCCCGTCTTCGGCTTACATCACCATCAACGACATCTCGTCACCACCAACAACCCGCAGCTCATCAGTTGAACACAACACATTCACAACCATGGGTCTCCGAGACGCGCTGAGGAAAAAGGACGCCATAAACCATGACCAACAGGGCCCCGAGATCTTCGTCCGCGCCGACTCCGACTCCGTCACGCAGCAGTTCGCCACGGTGCCGCCGCCGCCGCCGGACCAAGAGCAAGGACTCGACACGCCGGGCTTCAACGACGCCCTGCTGTCGCCCGCCGCGTCCACCGGCGGCGGCGGCGGCGAGCAGGGCCGCAAGTCCCGGCGCAGCTTCGACTTCTTCCACTCGTCCGACCAGCCGCGGAGCCCCTCGGCGTCCTCGGCCACCAGCCAGACCAAGAAGGGGAGCACGGCCAGGCGCCTGTCGCACCGCCTGCACCTGAGCCGCTCCCCCGAGACGTCGGAGCACGTGCCGCAGAACCTGCCCGAGATCGTCGTGCCCGGCAGCGGCGACGGCGACCGGGAGGCCGAGGAGCTGCAGTGGGAGAAGAGGGCCACGATGCTGGCCCAGAACGACGGCGCTGCTGCTGCTGCCCGCAGCCGCAGCGCGTCCACGCACTCTGCCACCGCCCCGGTCTCGTCCAAGCAGATCGATGCCGACATCCAGGAGGCCATCCGCCTGCATGAGGAGGGGAACTTTGCCGAGGCCACCAAGATGTTTGGGCGCCTTGCAGACGAGAATGGCGCCAACAACCCGCTGAGCCAGGTTCTCTATGGACTGGCCCTCAGGTGAGTGCTACCCGTCTCTCCCGGATGCCCCGATTCGCCCATTTCACACACACTCTCTCTCATCTTATTCCAATCTGCGGGCAGCGATGCGCTGCTGCCGGGCCAAACAAGAGAAGAGGGGGGGTGAAGAGGAGAGAGAGAGAGAGAGAAAGGCTGAGAAAGTGTCCGTATCTCGACCCCTCTCCTCGCCCTGATCCCCCCTCTGAGCCGCTTCTCACATATCACATCACCTCATTCTTGATTTACGTGACATGCCCATCATATGATGAGCAGGCGATGAGAGAGACACATCCGGAACTAATACAGGCATTGCTTTCTCCCCATAGGCACGGCTGGGGCTGCACGCCAGATCCTGGGCGAGCGGTCCACTATCTAACGGCAGCGGCCTCGAACGCTGCAGCCGTCGAGGAAATGGCCATCCAGGCCGGTCTGAAGAAGGGAGGGGCGGCAAAGGGAGAGCTGGTTCTGGCCATCTTCGAGCTTGCCAATTGCTTCCGCCACGGCTGGGGCATCGACAAGGACCCAATCGCCGCGAAGCAGGTATGCAGTTCTTCCAATCTTGTCTTTTTGCGATATCAAGGGGCCCGATGGTTGGCTCCCGAGCTGGCTTCTTTCTGGACCGATTAGATACTAACCGGGCACTGCAACGGTAACAACAGTACTATGAGACAGCGGCAAACTTGGGTGATACTGGTAAGTTTTAGATGCAGGCCCCATTCTCTGGATGTGAGTCTCGACTCCAGATGCTGATAAGTCTCGACCAAAGACGCCATGAACGAGGTTGCTTGGTGCTACCTGGAGGGCTACGGCTGCAAGAAGGACAAGGTACGTCTGACGATTAGTCAAAGAACGAACAAAGTGAACATATGACTTGCCTCTGGAATGCAACTCGTGGCACAGAAAGAGAGCCAAGCCTCAGTCAAGGCACAAGGGGCAGTATCACAAGCTGTGGCTTGCCCAGTCATCGTCCCTCCGTGGTCTGGCTGATAAAGGACAAGTTGATGCCCAACCGTCTCACCAGTGCCCCGGGGTTGGGTTCCGACGAGGGACAGCGCGAGCAGGCGATGGGCGCACAAGGTCTTTGTCAGGGTCCAATGGAGAGATGGCACAAGGCAGTGGCCGTCCTTTTCCCCTCCCCCACAGACTCGAACCCGTCACATGAGGCTGATGTTTGACCCCTTACTTGGGGAGGAATACAGTACACTGCAGCCCAGTACTATCGACTGGCTGAGAAGGCAGGCAACAAGACCCTAGGAAACACATGGTAAGTCACAAGAAGACTGCATCCATACGTGCCCATCCCGTCAGCTGTGGGCGTCTCCGTGTGTGGGAGAATCCATCATCATCCACGGCTCCCGAGTGGCCGGACCTCGCTTGCGAACCCATCCGTGCAGGCTCAACACCACACGGGCTGCTTTGTTTGCGGCAAGGGCTATGCAATAATTAGCTGCGACCATCTGCAGTCTCATGATTGCCTGCCCAGGAGCTGACCGGAAGGATTCGTGATGGGTGCTACAAGTACACCGTTCGGCTCCAATGAGAAGACGATGAGGGCTCTGAGAGGCGTCATAGGCTAACGGCTCTGCAGGATATGGAAGGAAAAGTACGACCCAGGCAAAGGCAGGAAAAAATAGGGAGGCTGGTGGTTACAGGTAGGCAGATCTCCCTTCGACTCCAACGGCGCTCGGTGGCGTCTCCCGGCTCTGATCCCCTTCGGTATTTGTCTTCTCTCTCATAATCAGCGTTTATAATTGGATACTCAAGGGGGGCGCATGTCTTTTTTTCTTCCTTTTTCTCACTGTTGCATGGCGTGTCCCTCTTGTGGCTTCAAAAACAGCAAGTCAGAAAGCTGCATGGTGACCCATATCCCGCTTCCTGCGCTTCACATTGCGGGGTGCTGCTGCTGTACCATCCGGAGGTGCGGACGCGGCAGCATCCAGGCGTTGTGGACGGCTCATGCTCCTGTAGCGGGCGATTGCGGCATGTACGGGTTGTATGATTGTCTGTAACATGCATGTATGGCTTGTGTATGTGAGCAGCAAAGCCTGAAGGTGTATGGCCGTATGGTTGTATGGCTGCGAGGACACAACCGCTTTGTTTATCCCCTGTGTGAGAGCATTTGTGTGTGTGTGTGTGTGTGTGTGTGTGTGTGTGTGTGTGTGTGTGTGTGTGTGTGTGTGTGTACCAAAAGTGCGGCCAAGGCTACTCCGTACTCAAGGAGCAACAGCCATAACCGGTAACCAGTTTCACTCTGCCCATTCTCCCAGTTGCTTGCCCGCATTGATAGGGCAGAAAGCGACGGAGCAGAGGCAGCTGCAGCTGTAGCCCGGAGAATTGGAGCAAATGGGAGCGCCGGCTGGCCATGATCCTCTCTCTGTGCGCGGGCGGTCCTTTTACCAGCTTTGCCCTAGCCGGGGAACTGGATCGCTATTTTGATGCCTGACTTGCGCATGTATCGCATCGTATCGTACAGAACAGAGGGGCAAGGTGGTCTGGACGCGCATGTGCGTGCGCACGTACGTACATCATGTACGTGTATGTACGAAGCAAGCGGGCATCCATGTATGTACATGTATGTATGTGTTGTTCAGCTGCCGCCGTGAGATTGGATGGAGGTGACAAGAGGGAGCAACTCCTCTCTCTTGCTGCTGCTGCTGCTGCGGCTGTGGAGGCGGCCATATATCGAGGCCTAGTACGGAGGAGCACAAGTGGGCTGGGCGCGAGAAGTGCTGCCGAGCCCTGCTTTTCACTCGAATTTTCTCCCTCTCTTTTCCTTGTCGTTGCCCGTTCGTGCTTATCAATGGCCCTCGTGGCTTTGGGTATCAATTCCCGAGTCATTTATCACATCGAAGTCGGCGTGCTGGCTGTTGTTTCCGCTGGCAACACCCTCTGTTAGTCCCGGGTAAGGGGCATCCCCAATGGCAGCTGGGAGGTGTCACGGCCCGGGGGGACAGCTGTAAGGGACAAGGGACGGCTTTCCTTTGCTGTCATTGGCATTGGCTCTCTGTCTGTTGGTGGGTAAGAGTTTTCTCTGTACATGTACGCGCATGCACGATGCATGCGTGGGTGTTTGTCTGTGTGTGTCGGTGCGAGCATGTGAGTTTGTATGCGGCCATGCGTATATGCACCCGGCCAGCGTCTGTGGATGCTGCTTCCTTTCATGTATCTCTCATGTACACGAGATGTGACTGGTTTCTTTCAAGCTGATTTGCCTGCCCGAGAGGTCCCCTCACGGCAGACGCACATAGTACTGGAGATACTTCTGGTGGACTTGTGTGCCTTGGCTTGTATGACCCGTAGCAGCATCAGCAGCAGCAGTCTCCCGACGCTGGGCAAAATCAAGGCAGGCTGTTGTCAACTAATTTCTTAGCTTCCAGCGGCCATCAGGATCGGCCCGTTGGGGGGTGTAGCGATGTGTCAAGTGTCGTGAGGGCAAGCGTGGCCGCTGGCGTCGTGTCAACAGAGGAGCCAGAATCAAGGGCCCGGAGCTAATCAGAAACGAGAGCCCAAGCCAGACCCAAACGTCGTCTTCCAGAAGCGTAGCATGAGGTGTGCGCGCGTGCAAAGAAAAAGCCTTGCTCTCCTCCTTGGGACGCTGCTGTGTGGTGTGGTGTCCTGGAATCCAAAACGCCGAAGGTTGTGGCGGCTCTGGGCGGTGATTGGTCGGCAGCTCGAGGCAGATGATCAGTTCTTGCAGATGGAACAAGCTGAGAGCGCGAGCCCGATTCGTCCGATTGCGCCTCGCTGGGCCAAATGGGATTAATGGCGAATGATGTTGAGGGAGGGAGAAGCAAGGGAGGGCGAGCGCGGAGACTGAGGGCGAACGGCATTTCTTTTATTCCTGGGGTGGTGTTTCGTAAGCGGGTTTCGCTCCTTCCCTAGGTATGGCTCATCGAGTGACGGGTTTTCTATCGTTATTTTCATAGGTACGAATAATTTATTTTCATTTTTATTTTTGGCTTATCTCATTAAACTTGTTTCATCGTATCAAGGAAGCAGCGCTCGTCCACCTCCTCGTCTCCCACTTTCCAAATGGAGAGGTCGTATTAGTCGACTGTTAGGTAAGGTAGCACTAAATCTCGTGATGGCATCATCCATCTTCCCTCCCAGAACAAGCAATTCATGTTGGTTGTGTCACTGACAAGGTACGAGGCACACACACAGACACACAAAGGTACACACCACCCAGCCCGGAGTACGAAGTACCTTGGAAGCACCAGAAAATCATTGCCAGGAATGACGTCCCGAAGGTCCAGGTTCGGTATACTCAAGCATAAAAAGGTACATGTAGCTTCTGCGGCCACACGGACGGGATGCATGGCCATGACCACCACACTCTCCTTCCCGTGTCCATCTATAATTTAACACTACTACAAGAAATACTAGGTCATGACATTGCAACGCCAAGTCCTGACCAAGGCTAAAACGAGAACAGTAGTCAAATGAAGCCCGTTTTGTCTCGTTGGCGGTGTGATGTCAACCAACCCAATGCTCCCCCTCCTCTCAACGTCCAAGGCCAGCCTCGTCTGTCTCGTCTATCCAAGGTCGAAGACGTTTCTTTGCATCACTTCGCTTCCATGGTTTGTCTCACGACCCCGCTGCTCTTCTTTTTCTTTTCCCCTTTTCGTCCTGGATAGAGCTGTGGTGGTACAGTAATGTAGTTGTAATAGTCGCAGCAGCATTAGTGGGCAATTCTCAAGGCACAGGACCGTCTGTAGTGTGCTGGATGCGGGTTGTAGGCAAGCCGGGCAGTTTCACTACATGCAGTTGCCAGATACCTTGCTCCTAGTGGTAAGTAAAGGGAGGTCGTGCCAGTCGGGTTATGCATGCTCGGGTTCCTAGCCCTTCCCAAGGCCACACCTCTCACACAACCCCACGGCGAGTGACGATACATCATGCAACTTACTGTAAAGGCAGTTGTAGGAAGAGACCGGTTTCAAGACAGACAGTCAGTCACGGCAGGAGCAAGCAACGAGTTGATGAATGTAAGCTGGATCTTCGTCCATGGTCACATTGAAGAAGCTATGTCAAAATGAAATATGTCGTCAAAACCCAGAGGCCATCGCGTGGCAGCTCGTTCCAAGTAAAAAAGCTATGTCCAAAATGCCGTCCAAACAAAGGAAAGCCACCCAGGGACCTTTTTTTTTGTCGCTGTGGTGGGTTCTCAAGAGAGTGTCAGGTAGAAGAGCCCGTTCCAGGTGCTCAATCTCGTCATCGTCGTTCAATCTGATTGCAATCTGTCATCATTCTGTGTCCGACATGCCTCGTAGAAACCATTTCTGTCGGTGCTAGGTATCATCCCGCACGCAGATTCCCAATATCCGAAAAGCTATGCCTCTCAAAAGTACAGGCATGCACGGGACTGGGGCCCGTAACACGCCTGCTTCTGCCTGTGTCCTATGCCTTTCGACCCACTGGCGAAGGGTTCCAAAGAAAAAGAAGAGAGAAAAGACAATGGAGAAAAGAAACGCTGACAAGTCAAAAGCCATCCGAAATATAACAGTAGGAAAAGTAAACACAAGGAAAAGAAAAGGCCAAATCAAGTCAAACAAAAAAATCAATCGCCAAAAAAAATCAACGCTTGCTCGCTCGCTAGATAGATCCGCAAAGAAATCGTAAGAGACTCCAAAGTAGATGGTTTTCATGAGAAAGCGGTGTGTCCAAAGGAACAAGTAAACCAAGAAGATGGGTGGTGAATGCGTGAGCAAAAAATCTCAAATAATGTGCATGTGGTAGAGTCGCCCCGAAGCGACTCAGTAACAGGGGCCAGCCTGTCCAATCGCTGGACGGGGCTGTAAGAAGAGAAGGGTGAGAAGGAGCAGAAGTTTGTCGAGAGAAATGAAAATAGAAGCAAAGACAAAAGGTGGAGGGTGGAGGGATTGGATCGTTGCATTACTGAAGCCGTTTTTTGATTCGTCATCGTGAGATTTCGTATTTTTTTTTCTTCCTGTCTTTCGCGGCGGGTCCTTTTCAAAGTTCTTTTATGACCTCGCCTCATTGCATTGCTGCGCATTCTGAGCACTGTTGCACTCCACAACCATCCTGGCAAAGTTGCGGACAACGTCGTGGGGGATCTGGTCCCAGAGGAGGGTGCGAGTGTACACCTCCGCGGCACCTGACTGCTTGGCAACCTCCCGCAGCTCAGCAAGAGACTGAGCCAAGTTCTTGCGAGCCTTGCTGGGGATTCGGCCAGCGGTGTTCTGGAGGAAGTCGTGGTCGCTGACTCCGTTGTACTGGGCGGCAGAGAGGGAGAAGATCTGCTCGTTGGTCTGCTGCTGCGAGGGCTGCATCAGGCTGTCGCCGAGCTCCACAAGCATGGACGGCGCAACGACGCCATCGGCAGCCATGCCGGCCATGACACTAGCGCTAACGGGCTGGCCCCAAGTGGCGGCGCCGGAAGGCTGGGGAGCAATGGCGTGCATGCTGGGCGAGGGGTTGACACCGGCGTCCTTGAGGACGTTGTCGAGAAGAGTCGCCGACGCAACGCGAACATCCTCGGACACGCGAGGGATGGAGGGCATCGAGCGGCTCGACAGGACAAAGGCGCCAACAAGGAAGAGCATGAAGAGCAGACCGCCCTGGGAGGAGCTCTTGTCGGAGTCCGAGGTGAAGGGGTTGTTGTCCTTCTTGGGGG